CCAGCAGCCCACTGTCCTGCCTCCTTATTCAGGGACCTCAGAAAACCATTCTCTCTGGGACCTCTAACGATGTGACAATCACGGAGAATTTAGCCAAGAACCAAACACATGCCACTCCTGGCCAGAGTCCCTGGAAACGGAAGCACGTTCCCCCGTTCTCGCGAAGGTGCAGGCTCTCCTTCCACACAGATGACATGTGCCCAGTTACCACGGCAGAGCACCAACACACAGGAATGTCTGGGGAGGCCCCTCCCTCCAAGCCCAGGCCGGAAACAGACAAATCAAAACCGTGTGGCACTCACTTCCTCCTGCATCACTTGGGTCTTAGAAGATTGCTGAAAAAGGAAAGAAAGCAAGCAAGCCTTCTCCAGCTGGCCAGCCCATGGCACCCTCGGTCTTTCCAGTTCCCTGGTGTGGTGGCCCATGTCCCATCTCCTGGGTGCGATGACTTCTGTGCACCCTGCTTCTCATCCAGCTCTGTGTCCAGACCCAAGACGGTTGTGAACCAAGGAACACATGAAAAGGGTTTCACACTTTTTACGACACCACCTGGCCCCAGTGCCCGGCTCAGTCCCCAGGTGCTGATCAGTACCGATAAAGCATGTGCTGACTGGCGCAGGGAAAAAAAATGGCCCTGGGTATGAACAGGGAAGCCTCTACCATGCTGCTTTCCAGGCAGGGATGTGCTGCAGCCCAACACCGTCAGCACTATCGAGGCCGACTGTGGCCTTGGAGAGCTGTCTCCAGAAAGAATGGCAGGACCTGGGGACCAAGTGCACTCTTAGGGCTCCACACCGTGAAATCACAGGGCCAGGAGCCGCACAGGGTACTGGGGGAGACAGAGCCGCCAGGCGAGAATCAGGTGGGCAAATGCGACTCTTCACACGTAGGTCCCCAAACCCTGCAACGCGGGGCATGAATGCAGCTTCCTTAGCAAAGCAGGAGCTTACTCTTGGCACTGGGGGGGAAGGGGAGGGGGGAGGCTGGCGTTTTTGAGGGGGAGGAGAAGTGCAGAGAAAGAAGAAATCCTGAAGCGACAGACAGTGGGACAGCTGTGGCCTGAACTTGGTGTTCCTGCTCCTCGGATGTGGATGTATTAATTTCCATAAATGCTAATAGTCCATTTCCCCAACAGCTATTACTTATGCCATCTCCGCTTGGACACAATTCAACACAGGGCAGACAAATGAAAGGGAGGAAGAGGCCACCCCCACTGGCTGTCCCCAGCTCCTCAGCCCCCTCCCAACCAGGCAGCTCAGGTCTCGTTCCTAAGGTAGCCCTCTAACTGCAGGGTCAAGACCCCCTGCCTTCAGCTTCGTGGCCAGGTCCCTATCACTACAGGAAGCAAGAAAGTTATCAACCCCAAAAATGCTGAATCACAAAGTGAGGCTGAGCAGGAAAGTGGGGGCGGGGAGGGAGGGAGACGGTGGCCAGGGAGGAAGGGTGTTAAGGGGCTTCCCACCTGGAGCACCCTGGGATGCTGCAGGCAAAGCGCAGCCCCTGCAGGAGCCCCCAGGACAAATGGCAGGAGGAGCAACGCCAGGATGCGCCTGGATGGCGGGGTGGGAAGGTGGGCAGGTACCCCGGCTGCCGCCACTGCTACTGCCGCAGGACGCGGTGCAGCAGCGGGGTCTTTGCATCTCTCCCGGGAGCAGCAGCAGGTAGGGAAGTGCTTTGAGCCAAGGCCTGGCAGGAGGGAGAAGCTTAAGGTAGGAGTGGAGGCTCAGGGTCAGGGGTGTCGACAGCCCGAGGAACGGGTGCAGGAAGCAGGGTCACAGTCCTGGGGAGCCGGATAAGGTGATGAGAGCGTGCCCGCGGGGAGAGGTCGGAGGGGCTGGGGGCAGAATGGGAGGGAGGGACAGTGGAGAAAGGGACCGGAGCCATACAGGGACAGGCTGCGAGAACGATGGGTGAGCCCTGAGGAGCAACCGGGGATAGAGATGGGGAGGACCGGCACCAGCAGCGCCCCGGTGGGGCTGCGGAGAGGCCGGGAGAGGGGATGGGAGGAGGATGGAGGGAAGGGGAGGGCGAGGCTGCGGGGACCGGAGCGGGCCGAGACGGGGAAGAGGTGCGCCGCGGCGAAGGAGAGGGACGGGGGCAGGGGCAGGGGTCAGGGATGCGAGCTGAAGGGTCGGGCGGGAGGAACGCCAAGGAAAGAGAGGAAGGGGTGGGGGAAGGGAGACGACGGAGAAGGAGGTGAGGAGGCTGAGGAGGAGGTGAGACGGAGGCGGAGGCAGGGACGCAGGGCCGGGGAAGAGGAGATGGAGACGGGACCGCGGCGCCTGCCGCAGTGCGAGCCTCGCGGGTGCCCGCTGCCGCCGTCCCGTCGCAGGTCGGTGGAAAGCGCGCCCCACCGGGGGTCTCCCCAGTACTCACCCGGGGGCTCCAGCTCCGGATCCTGAGCACCACGCCGGATCTTCCTTCCCGCCCTGCCCCTGCGACTTTAGCGCCCCCGAATCCCGCTGGCTCCGGCAGGTTCCGCCAGCAGCATCTTCACCTCGTGGGACGCCCGGGGCCACGCCTCCCCCAGCTTCTCATTGGCTACTGTTCACGCCAGTCACATTACCATTGGTTGAGGGGTCGCCGGACATGCAAATCAGGACGGGCCCGCCGCCGCACCGATTGGCTGGCGCTCGCGAAGCCTAGCCCTCGACTTGGGCTCTGATTGGCTCCGCGGCCCTGACGGCGAAAGTGACGCGAGGCGGGGTCTCCGCCTAAAGTGCACGGCGCTCGCCGCCTTCCAAGGCTTCCCCGCGGGTGGCAGCGGAGGGGGCGCGCCCCTCGGCCAGTCTTCGGTCCTTAAGGCCTGCGGCTGCGTTGAGCACTGGTCGCCGGGCCTTTGGGTCTGTCGAGTAGGGACTCTCTCAAAAGCGTGGGCTCCGTGGCCTCCGTGTGGCCTCCGGCGTGGCCGCGGCCGGCCGGTCTCCTAGGTAACGCGGCCCGCGGCGGGCGGAACCATGTAGGCCAACGCCGCGGGGGCGGTTGGGCGCGGCCTCGAGGTGCACCGGGCTGCAGTGTCGGCCGGAGCCTCGGGGTTCGGGGGTAGGATGGTCCGTGCCGTTCTGCGTGGGGGCTCGGTGCCTGGGGTCTGGCGGCGGCGCACGGCGAGGCCTGTCCCCGCGTCCATCGCAGGCTTCCCCCCTCGTCGGGACATTTGGTGCGGCCTGGGCCGCGAGTTGCCGATTCGCTACGTGGATTCCCCCTCTGCCCCTGCCCCCTGCGCCCTGCTCCCTGCCCCCTCTGCAGTCCTTCGGCTGAAGGAACTGCGGTGCCGCTGTCCTGGTTCTTGACTTCCCGCGCCCTCGTCTGCGCACATCCTTCCGCGGCCGGAGCCCGCGGACGCCACCTTCGCTCCTGCTTCCCTCCTGCTGTCCCTGGCTGTGGCTCTGCGGCCCTCGGGCGTGCCCGCCAGGCTCTGTCCGGGGGCCGCCTCGACCTTCCGCGCCCCCTTCCTGCCCTGGGACCTCCCGGCCTACCGGGCCGGAACACGCCACCTGCTCCCGCGTGCCCTTCCCCACGCTTGCAGGCCCCCCCTGCTGCCCGAGATTCCTCGCGTCTGTCTTCTTAGGAGACCGCTTTTTGCCTCCGTGTGTCGCCATGTGTGGCTTTGGTGGACGTCTGTGAAGGAAATCCAGCCTCTCACGTGTGTGCAGTTGGCAAAAGGAGAGTGTTTCTGATGACGGTGGGCAGCGCCTCCTGGTCCTGGCCTAGGGCTCTGTTGGTTGCAGCTCGCCTGTGCAGTTTCAGTAGGTTACTGTCTTTTTTGTGTGTGCTAATTTGTGTCCTTTTTCTACACGTTCTATGGGGGCAGCGAGCTTGTCTGCCGTGTTCAAGACCGTTTCTCCAGGGCTCAGGGTAGGTGCTGGAAGAATGTTCGTGAATGAGGGAATTCCAGGCAGTGCTTAATCAGGCCTCTGCTTCCCCCAGAGCTCCCCAAGGCACCTGGGTCTCAGGCATTACACATTTTGCATTCTGGGAAGAAGGCTTCCCGGACCCTGGCAGCGCCTCCTACCCCTGCGCTTTCTTTTCCCTGGGAGCTGCTATCTGTGGGACTTCAGCCCCGCCCACCTCTGCACCCTCTGGGGGTGGGGAGGGCTGTGTTAGGCTGGTGCCCTTGCTCTGTGTGCTGCTGACACACACCTTGTCTTTCTCCCCCGCTTACTTTCTAGATGCTTGAGGCAGCGCATTTCACAGCCTTAACGCACTGGAGCACAAGTGCTTGGGAAACCGTTGCTGAGAGATCTCAGGAAGATTTCACAGCCCTCATTTTGGATGTTGGAAGTAGGTGGGGAGGCTGAGAGTCTGTCCTGAAGTTAAAGAGGAGGGAACATTAGCCCTGGGTCCCTGGGTTCCTTTGGTGCTCTTAGTCTTTCCCTCTGGGCCTCTCTTGGCCTCCTTGGTTGAGGTAGGGGGAGGTAGTTTTAACGGTTTACAGTATTGTAACTATAATACTATTATAATAGCTAGTTATAGCCAGCCATGTGACCTTGGATTGGCTGTTTAACCTTTCTGAGTCTCAGTTTTCTCATCTGTAAGATGGAGGTAACGATGATTCTCATTTTGCGGAGTTGTTGGAACAGTAACCCTGGAAATATTTGCGAGTACCTGTCTTGCATGAGGGGCTCTATAAAAATGGGCGTATTTTCTTCCTGGAGAGCGCACTGTACCCTTTCCCTGGGTTCGAGACCGGGAGCCCTGTCCATTCCTCTTATTGTTTGGCCCCAGGGGCCGCGCTGCACTTCCTTCAGGGCATTGGTATTTCATCCTTAAAGGAGTTTTGCTGGCCGGGCGCAGAGGCTCAGCCTGTGATCCCAGCACTTTGGGAGGCCGAGGTGGGCGGATCACGAGGTCAAGAGAATGAGACCATCCCGACCAACATGGTGAAACCCCGTCTCTACTAAAAATACAAATCTTGGCTGGGCGTGGTGGCGTGTGCCTGTAGTCCCAGCTACTCAGGAGGCTGAGGCAGGAGGATCACTTGAACCCAGGTGGCGGAGGTTACAGTGAGCCCAGATTGTGCCACTGCACTCCAGCCTGACGACAGAGCGAGACTCCGTCTCAAAAAGCAAAACAAAGACTTTTGCTGAAGACCCAGACTGATGGCACAGAGCTCACAGTCTCGCAGGAAAACAGCATAGCCCTGGTGAAGCATGCTGACTCTTCTGTCACCTGCACTGTGTGGGAGCAGCCAGAAGTGGAGATGGGGCCCTGGCTCTGAGGAGGCAGCATTTAGTTTGACTCCTGCAGGCCAGTGCAGTGGTGGAAAGGAGCGAGGAGCAGGCGGAAGGGCACCTGGAGAGGTTTGCGAGGTGCTGGGAGGGCAGAGAGAGCTGCTGCAGCCACCTCGGCTCCCACCCCCACAGTCTCAGAAGTCACCTTGGCCTCCGTAGCCCCTCTGACTGTGGCTGCCCTGCCTCCACATCTCGAGCCTCAGGCCTTCCGTGCGGGTGGCAGGTGCTTTCAGAATGGGTGCCCTTCTGCCTAGCATGTCCCCTGCTGGCACAGGAGGGGGCCGGCATGCTTTGTGCCCCTGGTGATGGTGGACTGGTGTGCACACATCCTTCAGCAGCATCCTCAGGCCAGGTGTGGCACTCAGTCCTGCAGACATCCAGGGAGAGGGCAGGAGGCACCAGGTCAGAAACGTGAGGAGGTGAGGAGCATGGGCATCCGCATCAGGAGAGACTTCCTCTCTAAAATCCCCACCCGAGGCCACCACGGCCTGCATTTTGTGTGAATACTCTTCTGACTGTTATGTCAGTGGGAGAGAAGAGCTTGAGGGGTAGCCTTGCTAAAGCTGCAGTTTGATCCTGTGACTGGTTACCAAGTTGTGATGGTACCAAGGACACAGGAGGCGACTTCTTTCTTTAGGGACTTGGTCAGTGAGCAGATCAACATGAGGTAGGTGACAGATGCTGTGACCAGGGGAAGCACAGGGGCCATGTGACCCTGGGTCCTGGATCCTGGGAGCACCTGGGAAGCCCTCCTGGAGGAGGTGGCTCTTAAGCTGGTATTGGTCAGGCATCTTCTACTTATAAGTCATGGGCAGCTGTATGATTTCCTGTGGCTTCTGTTGGAAAGTCCCACAGACCTGGTTGCTTAAAGTAGCACAAATTTATTCTTTTCCAGTTTGGGAGGTCAGAAGTCCAAAGTCGGCTCTCCCTGTGGTGGCCGCGTGGCTCCTGGGGCTCTGGGCTGGCGTGGTGTGGGCAGTTGTGGGCACTGGAGGAGAGACAGCCTGGGCTCCAGTCTCCTGGGGAAGACTGATGGCTCAGTGTGGGTCGTGTATTCCTCCTTGAATCAGTCAGTGCAGGCCTTTGGCTGGAACTGGAGAGCAGCCCTCCCCACACATGGAATCGGGTGAGGGTCCTCCACAAAACAAGGGCAGTTGAGCAACAAAAGTAGCGCAGAGAGAACAAAAAGCAACAACCCAACTTGTGTTCCTGCTGGATTCACACAGGACCAGACTGATTGTGGTCTGCTGGGGAGTACCTGGCTCACAGGCACCATCTGGGTGCATTGTGGGTAAAGGCAGGAGCCTGGGCCAAGGCCCTGGGGTCCGGGGGCGTCCCAGGCTACCTGGCCATGTTCTCTTGGTTCCCACACACGCCAGGAGCGTGGAGAGGTGAACCGTTAGGACAACCCTTCTCAACGCTGTGGTCTCAGACACCTTTACCCAAAGCACTTTTGTTTATGTGAGTTATGTCTGTCAATGTTTACTGCCGTAGAAGTTAAAACTGAGAAATGTTAAAAATACTAATTTATTTAAAAATAACAATAAAGCTGTGACATGTTGACATAAAAAACATTTTTTACAAAAACCGACTATATTATCCCAAACAAACAAATGTACAAGGGTGGGATTCTTTTGCATTTTTGCAAATATCTTTACAGTCTCCTGAAGAGAAGACAGCTGAAGGCTCCTGTTTGCTTCTGTGTTCAGTCTTGGTTTAAGTATGTGAAGGAAATCCATCCCCATCTCGTTAGGGAGGAGTCTCTTGCATCATTCTTTGGATATTCTTTGCGGCTGCACTGAAAACCCCCTGAGCAGAATTTTCTTAAAGATTTGTTCTAAAGCAGAGTCTTCACCATATGAATGACTTCACCAGACTCTTCATGGTCTGACATGAAAATCCTTTGGTCTGTCTTACTTTGGGTGGATGTTTTACTCTTTTTTTTTTTTTTCCTGACAACTTCATCACATTCTTGGAGTAGGATGTTTTATTCTTCCAGGATTTCGTACCATTACATATTGTTTGGAAAATAGTGGTTCACGGAGTCACGCAGACCTTCCAACTGTTGACACATTTAATGGTATAACCTTAGACGACCACTTTGTATCCCTGCCCGTCTCATCAGGAAAGTCTTGAAGATGTGTGAAGCTGGTAGGCTCGTGGTGGAGGATACGAATGTTCTCAATTCTAATTTTTGCTTGGGAACTCCATTTTTATTACAGTTGTTTTCCCTGAAGTGACATGCTCACTTTGTTCACGTTTGAGAACATGTCTGCCAAGTACCCATGTTTTGTCTCTCAGTCATTCTTTTTAGCAAAAATGGTGTTGAATAAAAAAAAGCAGTGCGTTCAGCTCGCAGCCCAGCCGCAGCGAGGCTTCCCTGGGACGCCTGTGCCTTCGGTTTGTAGCAGAAGTGCTTGTTGTGTATTTTCCATTTTGTCTCACAATGTTAAGAAGGCGTGTACTTAACGGTCAAGATATAATCAGATTGATGGTTTTCCCGGCTTCACCGTGGATGTTGTGACTTGAAGCTGCCTTGTTCTTTTCTGTGAGAAGTTGGGAGGACCTCACTCAACCCAACCAGCCTTGGGTTAAGTTAGGCCCCAGCGACTTTACCTGCTGCTGCCTCTGCCCCACCATGGCACTGTGGTGAAAGAGATAACATCTGGGTGTCATGAAAATGGTTTTGCCTTGTAGAGCCTCTGACAGGATCCTGGTGAATCTTGGGTTTGGGGACCATACTTAGAGAGCTGCTGTCTTGAAGCCTAAACCCACTGCTTTTTCTCCTTACTCACCATTTTAATTTACAGGATTCAACCTCTTCCCGAGATTCAGATTTTTGGATTCTGTGCTGGCTAGGGAAGATTTAGATCCTGATCTGGCTGGATGGGATCAGATAACACTCAAAATGGGCCAGGTCCCACCAAGAAGTTGGTAACACTTGAAACCTGTCCCCAAATGGCTTTAGCAACAAGAGACTTTGCTCATGTAGCTGAAGTATCTTGGGGTGACTGGTCCAGGGCTCTGATAATGACGTGTGGATCCAGTGACCCTCCTCTGCTTGTTTTTATGCGTGTCCTAAGGTGGCCCTGGGCAGTTTAGGCTGACTGCCTCTTGGGCCAAGGGCTGTGTTCCTTCTCTCACGCTCCCTGGGCCCCTACAAGACGGTCCTACACTACGGCTCTGTTTCAGTGGCCACGTGCCCCTGCTGTCCTTGTGTAGTACCTAACCTGCACAGCTGAACAAAATGTCCCTTCAGGTCCCCATCTGGAATCAGCTACAGAGGCCAAGAGACTCATGCTCTGACTAAGGCCCATGGGGGTAGGGGTGGGGCAGAGCATTTCTGGAGGTAGATTTTTATTTCCCCATTTCATTTTATTTTTTTGTGTGAAAAGGTAATTCACATGGTTCAGAGTTGACATGGATGCACAGGATAAATGAATCATCCCATGGTAACCTCAGGCACCTGGTGTATCACCCTAGATACAGTGTGTTTTTGCATAATTTTCATAAATTCTAAGCAAATACAACAAATATACCTACATTAATTTTTCCTTTTTAAAATGCAAATGGTACTTCCTAGGGGAGGCAGCTTGGGTGGCAGCCAGCCACAAAGTCCACTCCACTGGTTTGCAGAGTGTGGGTTTGGGGGATGGAGGTTCCTCTGGGATTCAGTGGGAGGCAAAAGCCTTCAGGACTGCTGTGACCCCTGTCCTCTGTAAAGCTCCCCTCTTTATTTCGCTAGGACTGGCACAGGTCACCCGGGAGGCCCGCGTCACCCTCAGATGGGCAGGATGAACGACTGGCACAGGACTTTCACCCAAAACGTGCTTGTCCCTCCCCACCCACAGAGGGCACGCCAGCCTGTGAAGGAATCAGCAGCGTTCCAGTGTGTCCTGAAGTGGCTGGACGGACCGATCGTTAGGCAGGTAACAAAATGTGCTGTTGTCAAATGCATGTTGCCATTGTCTTAGCTGAGGTGACGCTTCCAATTCACACAGAGATGGTCTCCGCCTTACGATGGTTTGATTTTTGATTTTTCTGCTTTATGGTGATACCCACACAGCCATTCTGTTTTTCACTTTCAGTGCTGTTTTCAGTATATTACATGAGATACTCAACAGTTATTTAAAAATAGGATTTGTGTTAGATGACTTTGCCCAGTTGTAGGCAAATGCAAGTGTTCTGACCGTATTTGAGCTGGGCTGTGCTAAGCTCAGATGTTCAGTGGGTTAGGTGTATTCAGTGCATTTGAACATAGGATATTTTCAGCTTAAACAGGGTTACCAGGATGGAGTCCCGTCATAGGTCAAAGAGCATCTGTCTTGATTTTCACTTATTCACTTGAATCTTACCACTGTACCCATTACCTTGGGCCTTGGCAGTATTTGGAGGCAAAGTGGCCCATCAGCAAAGAAAATCCGATTCAGTGACATGGTCAGCACTTTTGACACTGGCTAGGGTTTCTTTCTGCCCACAGTGGAACAATTTAAAAACCCAAGTAATCTGATTTCCTGGGTTATTTCTGAACCAGGTGGCCTTATGTGTGGCTCAGCATGGCCCGCGTTCAGCCTGGCAGTGAGGACTGCAGGGGCTGAGCTCTGGGCATTCTGGCAGCTCTGTGTGTGGCTGGATGTATCACAGCCTTGGGCACTCTCAGGCCCGTGCCCTGATGGCGACACATCCATCTGTGCCCTTCAGCTAGTGGGGAACATGCTGGAGAAGCTGGTGCTTCTGTGCTGCTGCCCACAGGACACCCACATGATTGGATTGTCCTCATGAGGCCCAGTGGCCTATGGGCATGCATGAGAAGGACCAGTCTTGCCGTTGTCAACTCTTTTTACAGGGTTTGGCTTGGCAAGGCCATTTTCTTCTGCAGCTGGGAGAGTGATATTCACACATATTCAGTTGTTGGAGCCCCGGGTCTGTGACTAATTTACTATTATTAAATCACGGATGCTCTCTATCGTTCAAATCCAAGCCCTCTGATTGAGCACCTGCTGTGTCATTGCCACTGTGGTAGGTTCTGTGGTGGCGGCTGCTTTTACGGCTTTACTTCCAGCACTTTACTGTGTGAATTCACTTAATCCTCACAGCAGCCCTGTGAAGTTGCCACTACCTTACCCCCATTCTACGGAAGAGCAACAGAACCCACTAGGAGTGGAGTCAGCTGCCCAGGGCGACGGCTTTAGCTGGGACGCCACCCTGCTCGTCTGGCTCAGCTGCCTTCCAGGAGCTCACAGGATACTTGATAGCACTTCCCTCTTTCCTGGGAATTTTGCAAGGAAACTTTATTTCCCCATTTCATTTTAATTTATGAAAAGGTAATTCACATAGTTCAAAGTTGACAAGGATGCACAGGAAAAGTGAGTGATCCCATGGCAACCCCACGCACCTGGTGTATCACCCTAGATACAGCGTGTTTTTGTGTAACTTTCACAAATTCCAAGCAAATACAAATAAATATACCTATATCGATTTTTTCTTTTTAAAATGCAAATGGTACTTCCTGCATTCTATTTTTTTTCTCTCTCTCTTTTCTTTTCTTTTCCCTCCCTCCCTCCCTCCTCCCTCCCTCCCTTCCTTCCTTTCTTTCTTAGATGGGCTCTCACTCTGTCACTCAGGCTGCAGTGCAGTGGCATGATGTCAGCTGATTGTAAACCTCTGCCTCCTGAGCTCAAGAAATTCTCCTTCCTCAGCCTCCCAAGTAGCTGGGACCACAGATGAGCGCCACCACGCCCAGTTACATTTTTGTATTTTTGGTAGAGATGGTGTTTCACCATTTCTAGGCTGGTCTCAAACTCCTGAGCTCAGGTGATCTGCCCACCTCAGCATCCCAAAGTGCTGGGATTACAGGTGTGAGCCACTGCGCCTAATTCTGTACCTTACTTTTCCCAGTTATTTGCTATTACAGATACTGCTACAGTGAATAACCTCATTTTTTTCTTGTACACATATATCTGTAGAATAATTCCTAGAAGTGGAATTCCTCATCCAAAGTCATATGTTAAAAGTTATTTAAAACCCAATTTCATGTTGTTTACAAAAAAGTCCACTTTAAGTGCAAAAGACATAAACGAGTTGCAAGTAGAAGGGTGGAAAAATATCTACCATGTACGTACTGAGCCAAGAAAGCTTTGTGACTGTTCCAAAGTCAGAAAGAGTAGATTTCCAGGTGAAGAGTATTACCAGAAAGAAAGCATTTCCTAAAGGCAGTGATCATCAGGGAAATGGAACAGTCCCTGAAAGTGTATGCACTTGTGTTAGGGGCCTCCGAGACCGCCTCCCAGGTTTGAAGAGTCTCCGAGAGGACTCACATGACTCAGCATATAGTCATACTCTCAGTTAAGATTTACGGCAGCAGAAGGATACAGAGCAAGATCAGCAAAGGGAGGAGGCGTATGCGGGATGTCTGGGGGAAGGGGATACAAGCTTCCAAGAGTCCTCTCTGGGTTGAGTCACACAGGATGCGTTTGATTCCTCCAGCAGTGAACCGTAACAGCACATGTTCCATGTTGGGTAGCATGTCCAAAACTCCAGACTCTCAGAAGGGAAAGGGGTGTTCAGCATAAGCCACTCTGTACACTTTAGGCACGGTGTGCCCCGCTTACCAGTTAGGTGTAGGAAGTCCTGAAATCTAAGTTCCCAGACTCCAGCCAAAGGCCAGACTTGTCAGCTGGTCTTTCAGAGCGTAACAGTCAGGCCTGCTATGATAACTTTTGTACAAAAGAGCAAAATTGGACAGAACTAAAGGGAACTATATTCGGATTCAAAATCGTGTTTGGAGACTTTTAACTCTTCTCTCAATTACTGAAAAAACAAATAGATCAAAAAACTCATAAGGATTTGGAAGGTCTGAAGAATACCGTCGGTCACCTTGACATCTCTTAAACACTACTCCCAACAAAGCTTGGATACACATTCTTCTCAAGTTTATGTGGAACAGTCACCAAAATGTGACTATAAAAGTCATTAAACAGTCATTAAAATGTGTCGATAAATTTCAGAGGACCCAAATTATGAGGTACGTTTACCAACTACTGTGCTTTTAAGTTAGAAATAAGTAACAGTACGAGATCCAGAAAATCCTTAAATAGTAGGAAATTAAAACACCAGATCAGAGAAGAATAGGAAAATTAGTATATGTGTTGCCAGAGCGAGTGTTTAATAGGGAAATTAGGAAATAATTTGAACTGCGTAATGGAAGAAAATACATAGATTTGTAGGATTTAGCTAGTGCAGTTCTTTGAGGGAAATGTATAGCTTTACGTAACTATATTAGAAAAGAAGAAGGTAGAAAATCAGTGACCTCTGCCTCTTCCTTAACAATGTAAATAAAGGAACAGATTAGATACAAAGTGATTAGAAGAAAGGAAATGGTAAATACAGTTATGCATGGTTGCTTGACAATGGGGATACATTCAGAGAAATGGCATTGTTAGGCAATTTTGCCATCGTGCAAACATCATGGAAAGTACTTACACAAGCCTGGATGGCAGAGCCTGCCTCCCGCCTGGGCTACATGGTACAGCCTGTTGCTTCTGGGCTGCAAACGTGTGTGGCACGTGACCGTACTGAATACTCTTGGCAATTGTAACACAACGGTTTATCAAACATAGAAAAACAGTAAAAATAGAGTATTATAATCTTCAGGGGCTAGTCACATATACAGTCTGTTGCTGACTGAAATGTCATTATGCTACACCTGACGTATATGAGTAGAAGACAGTAAAGAACAAATAAGAGAGAAAATCAGTAAAGCTAGAAGTTGATTCTTTGAAAAGATTGATAAAATTGATTAAGACAAAAAAAGAAAACACTACCAATATTAAAATGAAACAAGCATCGCTATAATGTATGCTACAGATGTTAAAAATAAAATGTTGAATTTCATGAGATACTAAAGAAGAAAGAAGATGAATTCTAGACAAACTCTTTCAGGAAATAGAGCAGGAGGGAACACTTCCCAGCCCATTTTTTGAGGCCACCATAATTCTGATACCCAGTCAAGGGCACTGCAGCAGAAGTACGAACTGGCATCCCTCGTGAATGTTAACACGGCAGCCCTGAAAATATCAGGACCGCAAAACCAGCGCTCTGTAAATGCTGGGGTATTAGGATCAAGTGGGGCTTGCTGCAGGAACACAGTGTTGGCTTTATGTACAAAGATCAGTCAAAATACAGCATTTAAAAGAAGATAAATAGAATTTATGTAAGCTCTATAAATAGAATTTGGAAATAGATGATAAAAAGGTTTCGTATAGATAGTCTATGTTTGTCCAATTTTAGTTGTTTTGAGAGTTGATAGCTTTAGATAATGGCCACAGCTTTCTTCCCTGTGAAAGGTGTTGGCTGAAGAATGTTACATGCTTGTTTTGAATTGAATTTATTAATGATTTTAATATATTTCTCTTACTGTCCCATTTACTTTTTTTGTTTAATTTTATCATGATCACTGATTATATTTCTTTATTTTGGGATGAGTATTTCAATTCAGTTTGACATTTATTGGGCACCGCGACATGCCTGGAACTCTGCAGAGGACACAGAATGGACTCTGCCCCGTGCTATGTCTTCAAGGAGCTCTCAGTGGATTCTTCTTTGAATAGACTTGGGTGTGAAGTAGGCTAGAGGTGGCGGGAGGGTGGTTAGGGTCTGGCATTCTGGAAAGAAGCCGAAGCCGGCGACAGATCTGGGAGCCACGGGGTCCTGCCTGATGATGGCCTCCTGAGAGAGTGCAGGAGAGGGGGAGGAGGGGACTCTAGGGGAGCCCAGGCAGTCCAGGTGAGGAGGGGCATGCGCTGAGGCCTTGCCTGGGCTCCAGGGACAGCAGGGAACAGACTGTGCCAGGCTCACATCCTCACAGAGTTCACATGCTAGATGGGACGACAGACGGTCAACATGGAAAAGCTGGGTGATTGCTCTGGGGAGAGATGAGGAGGCTCAGAGCGTGGGTCTGGATGTGGGAGGAACTGAGGAGGAGGAGGAGGGACAGGGGAAGAGGGATGAGGGACGGGGAGGCTGCACGATGATGGGAGCTGGGCTTGGAGTCCTCAGGCCTGCTCTGCCCGCCCTCCCCATCCCATGGATAACACGATCTCCCTCCAGGTCGCTTCACTTGAGACGCGGGACTCAGTGCTGGACCTGGGAGGGCGGGGCCGACCTAGTCAGCTGGTCCTTCCCACTTCTCCCTTCATGACCATGCAGCTGCTCCAGAGCCCAGGTGTGCCCACTTCCTGTCGCCCTCTCTGCCCCTCCCTCTCTTGCCTGGATGGTGGCAGCAGCCTCCTGACCAGCCCCTGCGTCCACTCCCTCCCCCACAGTCTCATGGGCGCATGGCAGCTGCAGGAATTTTCTTAAATCCTGAATCAGATTGTGTCATTTCTGCTAGATCTCTCCCTGACCTCTTTGCACGTTTGGAGTGAAAACCCAGCTGCTTCTCGCACTGTGAGGCCTGCCTGACGCTCCTGTTCCCGGAGCTCATTCCTCCTCTCTTCCCTGGCCCAGCCTGTTGCAGTCCAGCGGCCTTTCTGCTTAGAATGTACCTGGGATTGGTTTCCATTCAGGGGTGGTGAGGCCAGCGGATCAGGAGAGGACTGCTGCTGAGAGGAGGGCGAGGCCCACAGACCACTTGGGGGCGGTGCAGGGCTGGTCGGAGGCAGGAGGATAGAAGGGAGGCGGGGGCAGAGACTTGATTGTGGGAAGACTGGGCCGGGTACGGTGAGCAGCTGGGCAGGATGAGCAGCCAGGCAGGCTTGGCGGTGGCCAGGGAGAGTCATGCCATGGTCTCTGAGGTGCAGGGATGGCCCCGAGGTATCTGGTCACTGACCCTGGGAGATCAGGGCAGAGGGTGGGACTCCTGGGGTGTGTGGGCTCTGGACTGGTTGGTTTTCATGTTAGACACGTTCTGGCAGGTTTGCCATTTGCCACCCTAGGAATTAGCTGGCTCTGGGGGACAGTCTCATCACTGAGGCCCCAGATGCCAGAGCATCAGTAATACAGAAGATTAGAAAATACAGGCTGGGTGCAGTGGCTCAGCCCTGTAATCCAGCACTTTGAGAGGCCACGGCGGGCAGGTCACTTGTGGACAGGAGATGGAGACCAGCCTGGCAAAACCCCCTCTACAGAAAGTACAGAAATTAGCCGGGTGTGGTGGAGCGCACCTGTGGTCCCAGCTACTTGAGAGGATGAGGCAGGAGGATCACTTGAGCCTGGGACGGGGAGGTTGCGGTGGCCAGACCTTCAGCGTGGGTGACAGAGCGAGACTTTTCTTAAAAAAGCAAACAGTTACTATAGCTAAATATAGTTCTGCACTTCTCGCTGGCTTTCAGAGCACCTGTGGTTTCCCTTCAGGACCTTTGAGTTTGCTGCTCCTCCTGCCTGGCTCCTCTCCCCAGACCCCCCAGGGCAGAGATTTGGTCTGTTCTGTTCCCTTTTCTTTCCCTACTGCCTGGAAGTGTGCCTGGCAGAGAGTCAATGTGCAGAATAGATTCGTAAGTAATGTTTGCTAAGTGGATGGGTGAAAGGCAGAGGACTCTGGCTCAGGTAGGAACCTGTCATGGAAGAGCAAAGCCTAAGGTAGCACTTGCTGTGAGTGGTAAAGTCCCGGGGCGGAGTCCTGTCTCCGCTCTGGCTGCCGTGTTCTGTATTTGTAGCCATGATTTCTTAATTCTCAAAGGTCTGCTTTTTCCTTTGCTAATATCACCCCAAAATCTGGCAAGTTGAGGATTTCGAGTTTCTGGTTATATCAGGAAGGGCTCATTTTGTTGCAGATGATTAAAAAACCCATCCAAAATGATTTAAGCGACAGGTGATTCGTTAACTTACACAACAAATCCATAGCCAGCATAAGCTTCAGGTGTGGTTTGAGCTAGGTCTTAGGTGATCTCCTGGACTTGTTCTCTCTCACCTCTTGGCTGCCGGCCGCCCTGGGCCTCATTCTGGCAGGCACGTGTGTCTCCTGTGGTCATCGCCTCTTGTGTGTCCTGGGCTCTGGCTGAGTCAGAAGCCTGCGTCTGTTCCAAGGGACTGCAGTGTCTCATTGGCCAGGGGAGGCTGAGTGCTTTGGTTTATAACCCCACCAAGACCAGTGGCAGTGGGAGAGAGGTAGCCCCCCGAGAAGGACACTGGATGCTGATACCTAAGCAAGGGTGAATGCCAAGTGGCCCATGTGCACCCGCGTGGCCTGCAGTGACTGCATGGTGCTGAGACCCTTCAGGGCCATTTCCCCCTTGTCTCCTAGGGTGTGCTGGAGATGCTGTCAGAGGTTGAATGCCATCTGCGAGTGTCTTTCTTTGATGTCACCTACCGGCACTTCTTCGGGAGGACGTGGAAAACCACAGTGAAGCCGACAAAGAGACCGCCGTCCAGGATTGTCTTCAATGAGGTGGGCCTTGGTGACTGCAGCAGGGGCCGCTCCAAGATGGAGAGTGGGTGTGTGGGGTCCTGGGTGTCAGCCCAGAGATCGGGCCTCACCCAGACCTCACAGTGTGTCTAAGACCTGCGGCCCCAGGCAGCACAGAGCTCAGCCTAGCGGCAGGCACTTGATTTCCAAACACCGTTTTAGGTGGAAGCCAGTTGTCCTAAACAAATGAGAGAGCTCTGCTCTGCTGTAGTTTAAGGGTCAGGGGCATGGGGGTTTTGTCACCTTCAAGGACCCTTGGAGTTCTTGGGAATAAGTTGGTAAATTATTGACCTCATCTGTCCCCCCTGCCACTGCTGCTCCCCTGCCATCCCCTTCGCTGCCCCTCCCTACCCCCTTCCTCTTGCCCTGCCCTCTCACCTCCCCTCCCTCCTTCCCTGCCTTCCTTTCTTTCCTCCCTTTTGTATAGGGAAATTAGGATTTAGTAACGTGACTTGCCCAGGTAGCAGGTGTCAGAGCCTGGACTCACACCTGTGCCTTCTGTCTTGGGACCGGCAGGTGGGTGGGCACTGGTGGAGTGTCGTGTTTCCATTCAGGTGGTCTTGCAGCTGGCCGCCCTACGGGCCGGCGTGCTCTGTCTCTGTGGTTGCACTGCACAGCGTGTATTCCCTTCAGCGCCCGCTGTCTGCAGACTGCCGTGCTAGGCTCAGGATGATGATGGTGCTCACCTAACAGAACTGCAGACTGCTGGGGAGACACACCGAACAGTAACAGGGCAATTGCAAGTTGTGTTAAGTTGTCAGGAGGAGCCCAACAGGAGAGCACGGAGACCTGCTTTAGGTGGGTGACAAGGAAGGCCTCTCTGCGGAGCTGCCCTTTAAGCTGGGACCTGCGGGACGAGAAAGCAGCTGGCTCCGTAATGAGCAGGGAGAAGGCTGCTTCGGGTAGAGTGGGGAGAGCCGGGGGTGTCAGGGGTGAGGGGAGAGCCGGGGGTGTCAGGGGTGAAGGGAGAGCCCAGGTGCACAATGAGTGGGGTTGAGGGTGGCCCCTGGTGCCTTCTGGCTGGGTCCTACGAGGTCTTAGGGATGCTGGTGTTTTACTCTTAAGAGCCGGGGATGTCATGGAGGTCATCCCCATGCCTGGCTGCTGCTTCACAGCTGAACTAAGTGGGTGGAGCTTGAGAGAGATGGTGTCTGAGCATGACAGGTGTGCAGCAGGGACAGTGTGGGGACCAGAGGTGATGAGCAGGTCTGGGCTTTGGTTTGGTCTCTCTCAGGTGGGTACAATGTGGAGACGACAGAGGAGATGAGAGGGTCTAGGCTGTCTTGGTTTGATCTCTCTCAGGTGGGGACATTGTGGGGACCAGAGGTGATGAGAGGGTCCAGGCTTTGGTTTGATCTCTCTCAGGTGTATAGAAGGAGGCCCAAGAGGCCTGGTGTTGTGACAGTTTGTATGATGAGCAGCAGTGGCGCTGACAGGGGCCATCCTTTGAGCCGTTACTCTAGGTAACCTCTGCCCAGGCGCGCGTTTTCTGCAGGCGCCCGCTCTAGCGAGTCAGCACTCCCACCTCAGGCCGCGAACTCGCTGCTCCCGTACCCGACCATCACCCAGCGCTTGGATTGTGTGTGTCTTGACGTGGGTGGATACTGACTCTTGCCCTTCATCCCATGGGTAGTAGAGGGAGAGAATGACCCTAGAGGTCAGGAAGCTTCACTAAAAAGCCTTGCTAGAGTGTATGTCATGACAGCCAAAGATGTGTCTGACATTAAGGTTGTCAAACAGCTTATGCAAATACCTCTTAGAGGTCTCTCTGGCCAGCTGTGACAGAAAAGGTTTCATGTGTAAATCACACATGGACTGAGGGTGAACTCTTAGAGTGCTTTTCATTGTGGGCAGGGGGTCCCCTCGTTCCTGCGCTGTGGCAGGAGGCTCGGTGCTGTTTCATTGTGGGCAGGGGGTCCCCTCCTTCCTGCGCTGTGGCGGGAGGCTCGGTGCTGTTTCATTGTCGGCAGGGGGTCCCCTCGTTCCTGCACTGTGGCGGGAGGCTCGGTGCTGTTTCAGCGTGGGCAGGGGGTCCCCTCGTTCCTGCGCTGTGGCGGGAGGCTCGGTGCTGTTTCAGTGTGGGCAGGGGGTCCCATCATGCCTGTGCTGTGGCGGGAGGCTGGCTGTGAGTTCCCAGTGGTGGCAATGCCGGACCAGCTGCTGGGTTGGGGCTGTTTAGCTTTATCTTTCTCAGGTGTGCACAGTGAGGCCCCAGAAACCTGGTGGTGTGACAGTGTGTGGCCGGTGGTGAAGGTAGCTGTCCTTTCCTGGGAGGCTCTTCCTGTGGCCAGGCATCGGCTCAGAAGCACACTGTCATTTCATGCCTGTCTCCTCCTGTGGGGGTCAGTATCCTGTGTACCCGTTTTAAAGAGGACGCTGAGGAGCATGGAGATGGAATCACCCCACCAGCCTATGCACAGGTGGCGGTGGCGGCAGGAGTGGCCCTGTGCATCTGACGGCACTACCCGCTGTTGCCTCTGTGACCTCCTGCTTCTGAGGAGCCCTGCATTTGTTCTGAAGTGTTCCGTAGGATTATGAGGGATGCAGTATGCTCTGAAACCAGCACAGGGATGCTTGGCAGTCACTGAGGTGCTGGGGCACGTTCCTCCTCCTCCCTCACGCCCTCTGACTTCAGCTCTCCGTTGAGAGAGGCCTCGGACCTTCATAAGGACCGGCGCTGCCCTGATAACCCAGCAGGACACAGGCTTCTGGCCAGATGAGGGGGCGTTCCATCTCCCAAATCCCTGGGCTGTCGCATCCTGATCCCTATAGAACTCCAGCCGCACGGTGGGACAGTCTTCAGAATGGCTGCTGCTTTCTGCCTGTCTCGGGATGACAGTCGTGTACCCCGCGGGCTTCTGTTTCAGGGAAGTTGGGCAGGACGTGCGTTTGCCACATCCTGGTAGCCGCATGTCATGCTGCCTGTGCAGGTCACAATTCAGATGTGTGAGGGGGACGAGGAGCTGGTGGCTTTTCAGAGTCTGGAATACGTGTGCTGGTGGTGCCAAGGGCAGCCGACTTGGGAGCCACGCTGCTCAGCCTTGGCCTGTCATATGGGCGTCTTGTGTTGAGGCTGGGGACGGGCCGGGGGGCTAGTGGAACACAGCCCTTAAAGTTTCCGGAAAAATCCGCACCCTTGGACTTAGAGTCGCTGAAGTAGGGAATGCAGCAGAGACAGTGTGGGGTGGCCAGGGCACTCAGCTGTGAGGGTGATGCTGAAGCCTCCCTGCCATGCAGGGAGCCTGCCATTTGCAGCTGCTATGCCCCGTGCGGGCAGCAGAGGCCAGTGGTGCTCCAGGAATGAATCCCTCCTGCCAGGCTGTCCAGTAGTGTGTTCTGTGCCAGGCAGTTTCCTCCATCTCCTTGACATTCTCATACAGAAAAAAGGTTTTGTTCCAGCTTAGTTAACTAGTTAACTTAGTTAACTAAAGAGAATTCCCCTTCACTGAGTGTGTGTGCAAATGTGTGTCCGCATCCAGGTACATGTGTATCTGCTACAAGTGTGGACGAAGTGTAGCGTGCTCCAGGGGTGGGCATTCCTAGGTGTGAGGGTGTGGCGGCATGCTCGTACCCTGCCCACTATTTGCTTTGTCTATGCCCCGTGGAAATAGAGGTTCATAAAACACTCTGCCCTTTTTAGGGGTGATTCTGAGAGTTAGCAAAAATATTTTTCTGGTTTTCCTAATTGCCTGTGTTTTTCTGATCTTTGTCGGCGGTAGTTCCAGGGGATCTGCTTTGGGGTTGGGAGCTGCCGGTAGCCGGGGACGGGGCACCCATGGCTGGCCAGCCCCACGTGGTAACGCAGGGAACCTGCATGCTCGGGGTTTTTCGGAGTGCCGGTGTCACACATGACCCTGAGAGAAGGGCCTGTGTCAGGACTTCTCAGACAGCCACGTCCTAAAGAAAGGCTTGGAACATGGAAGTCTCGTCTGGATCCAGAGCTGGGTGCTTTTTTCTGCAAATGATGAATATTCGAACTGGACCCATATGCTGGAGAGTAGTCCCCGGACTCCTCAGCCCTGAGCTCAAAATTCTGTGTTCTCTGAGACCTTCCCTGGTGGAGAGGAATTGCCTTTCACTTCCTCTGAGCCAGCTAATCATTCATTCAACTTCTAAAAAAGTGTCTTTTAAAAACTAATCCTGGAGGCCACAATCCTGTGCAGTTTTTCAATTTTCTTTTTGAGGTGGACATATTTTCCCTTGGATTCTTTCCTTAGTAGTTGTGGCCAGCATTGGGTGACAGCCTTCTTTTCCCTCGTTTATTTATTTGAGGGGAGTTACTGGGCAGGAATCCTGGTGGTTCTCCAGCAACAGCCTAAACCCCCAGCAGGGGAATCTTTTCTCCCAGAGTGCACCAACCCTGGTGTCGCCAAAGCGGCGGGGCAGTCACCTGCCCTGGCAGAGGGACGCAGGTAATTGAGTTGGCGCCCCTTCCCGCCATCACAGCCATGAGAAAGCCCCTCTTCAGCGGCCCTTACTCATCAGACCAATGAGCGTGCTGTATTTTCCCGTCGAAAAGCAGATGCTGTCAAGGAGTGTCAGCATAACCCACGTGCAACTCCTTTGAGCCCTTCCAGTGCCTGGATTCTTCGGCCTGGGCCTGGAGCTTGCCGGTAGCCCTGGCTGCAGAGTGCGGCCGCTGCTCCTGTGCGCTAGCTGTTGTTCGGCAGAGGCTGGGCATGTCCTGAACATCACCACAACAAAAGCAAGAAGCCAGCTTCGTGTCCCAGCGAGCTGCTTCCACAGAGGGAGGCTCCGTGGCTCTGGGAGGCCAGCTCTGGCCCCGTGTGCCCGTCTGTCTGCAGCTGGGGAGGGCTGATTTCCTCTCTGGCACAATGGAAAGCACCGCCGTGATCTTGGAACCTGAGATGAGGGGATGAAAGAATGTGGGTTTTAGAAGGAGAATGCTGTCTCTGTGATGTTTCCAGCGTTTAATTGTACAGTGATTGAACTGTTGGTCATTTGGGGACAATGGAAAGCTATGTTTGTCAGTTTTGTTGTTGTGTGTTCATAGCAGCGTAGTGTGGGATCTTTCTTTTTTTTTAAGAGATGGGTGTCTCTGTGTTGCCCAGGCTGGAGTGCAATGGTACGATCATAGCTGATTGTACCCTTGGACTCCTGGGTTCAAGTGATCCTCCCTCCTCAGCCTCCCAAGTATCTGGGACTACAGGCATGCACCACCATACCCAGCTAAATTTTTTTATTTTGATAGAGATGGGGCTGGATATTTCTTGCTTTGGGTTGTAAGTGTCTTTGCTCACTTTTCTAAGTAAGCCAAGGAGTCGCTGTTTAGGCCAGAGAGAGAACTGACTTTCGCCATGGGCATTGGATTTGAGGAAGGATGGGGCGTAGGCTGATGTCCTGCTCCGTCACTGATCCCTGTGGGACTTCAGGCAAGTGATTTAAATTCCTTGATTTTAGGGGGTGAGGGATAAAAGACTACGAATTGAGGCTGGGTGCAGTGGCTCACACGTGTAATGCTGGCACTTTGGGTGGACAAGGCGGGTGGATCACTTGAGATCAGGAGTTCGAGAACACTCTGGCCAAGATGGTGAAACCCTGTCTCTACTAAAAATATGAAAATTAGCTGGGTATGGTGGCACACACCTGTAATCCCAGCTACTCGGGAGGCTGAGACAAGAGAATCGCTTGAGCTCAGGGAGTGGAGGTTGCAGTGAGCTGAGATTCATGCCGTGGCACTCCAGCCTGGGTGATAGAGCAAGACTCTGTCTTTAAAAAAAAAAAACTGAGTTCAGTGTATCCTGCTCAGGTGATAGGTGCACCAAAATCTCACAGATCACCGCAAAAGAACTTCCTCATGTAACCAAATACCACCTGTTCCCCAAAAAAACCTGTGGGGGAAAAAAAAGAAATTAATCTGCAAGAAAAGGATAAACCCCTTGATCCTGACTACATTCATCTGTGCATGAGAGATAACAGTTTGCATCTCTTGCATGCTGCTGGAGGCTGGAGTATTAAGTCGTGCTTTTCCGTAAACAGGGAGCCGGTGGGCAGTAGTATTCATTCAACAAACGTTGGGTAAGTGCCTTCTGCATGCCATGCTGTGTTTAGGAGTTAGGCATACACAGATAAGATGGTGTCTTATCCTTTCAGCCAGGATTGGAGTTTACATTTTTACTCCAAATGAGAGTTTCTCGACCTTGGCACTGCTGCCATTGTGGGCTGGATAATTTGTGGGGCAGGGGTCTGTCCCTGTCATGATGGAGAATAGTGGGCACCCTCGATCCCTGCCATCTTTGAGTGTAGTGGCTGGGAAGCTGTCCGAACCCGCAGTGTGAGTCTGAGTCGGTGGTTAGGAACTGCTCGAAGTCTCTGGATTGTTTGCCTGACTGAAACTATCCTGCTAAAGGCTTATTGAAACAGTTCTTTGGTGGGGACTCACTCTGCTTCTGCTCAGCGCCTCTCTGGCTTTGCTGCCCAGTGTCGTCTGAGGAGCCCCTATCATGTATGTGCCAGGTTGCGTGGCCATGCCGTGGGGGTGCCCGGCTGCAGCCTCTTCATCCAGACACATTGAGGAAGGAGACCCAGGCATCTGGGATTCCCTCCCGCTCTGTCATCCACTGTGCAGCTCAATAGAAGAGAGAGCAGGCCAGCTGGCGCCTCCTGAATCTCCTTCCTGAAAATAACATGCTTGGTCTTGGGGAAACTCTCAGGAAGACACTATTTTTACTTAAAACAAGATCAAACCAGAGACCTTTTCACATGTGAGTCCTAAAACTGTAAACCAGAACCCTTTCATATATGATTCCTGAAACTGTAAACAGAGACCTTTTCGCATGTGAGTCCTAAACTGTAAACCGGAACCCTTTCATATGTGATTCCTAAAGCTATAAACAAACCTAAGATTCTTCCACGTGTAACATGTAAAGTATAAGTCTATGTAAAGGCAGAACCTTCTTTGTTAGATGAACTGGGCTTTTGACAAATTACTGCCTGGTCTCCCGGCCAGATAAACTCTTCCCTCCTTTATTCAGTGTTGGAGAGATCCGTTTCCTGCGGCCGCTTCTGCTACATCAGCAGAGGCCCAATTCCACTTCTGTTACCCCGGGTGAAAAATGGAAACTTGGCCCCGAGGCAAAATGGTGTCCATGTTTTTGAAGACGAAGGCATGAAGACAGGCGCATTTAAATGATTTTAATCTGTTTATGCTGTCAAGGAGGAAACTTGTCCAGTGCAGATCAGTGAGCTGCAATGCAGGGGTGACAGAGAGCCCGTCTCTTCTGTCTCAGGTGGCTTTCCCCTGCAGGCGATTCCATGGGCTTGACTTAACCTTTTAATCGTGCAATTTCGGTTGATGCCGAGAATGTTCCTCTTAAAATGTACGGCAGTGGCATTCCTTAAGTTTCCCTGACCAAAGGGCTTGCCTGCAGGTGTTCCTTAGCTGCGTGCTGCCTGGCTGAGTGGGGCGGGCATCGGGTGGTCCAATGTGACTTTGCCAGGACGACCGGAGGAGCGCAGCCGTGCGGCTCTGTCGCTTGCGGTTTTGTGCCTGCCTCATCTGTCCTTATATGAAGCCTTCGAGGCTTGGGCTTCTTGAAAGCTGACTTGTGTTTTCCAGGTTCCTTGTAAATTCTTTAGCTTGGGGCTGTTCTCACACTGGAGGGTCAATATGATTTTTGGAAAAGAGCCTGTGTCCTTATCAATCAGTAATTGTACTGGTATGACCATTTGAACTTTTAAAACATGCTGCACTTGGAGTGGCTGACTCTTCTGATTAAAGGTGGATTCTTTAGACTCTAAGGTTGGATCAGCTGAGATAAGCAGCTCTGGGGCTCTGTTGCTGTTGTTGTTTTTGGCCTCACTAATTATTGTTAGTGGTAAAAGAAGGGAGAGGCATAGCCATAAACTTGTACTTGAGACATGCCTGTAGCCATGGGTGCCACCAGGCTCAGGTAGAGTAATTTCAGGGTGACCTCTAGGCTGGCAGATTGTTGTTGCTCTGTATCAACAGAGTTGAAAATGTTATTTTATTGCCAATAGAAAAAATGAGTAGTGTTCGAAAGACTGATAGGCACAGGTATAAATAGAAAAGGTGAGATAATGACCAGCTCGACTTTGCAGTGGGGCTTTTTAAAAACAGTTCTTGAGTCTTGGAAACAAACATAATTCTCTCTCAGTCCAACCACCTGTCAGCTGTAAGTGGTCATTATTTCATCATATTGCAATAAAAGATAATAGAATAACGATTTATATCTCGTGGCTGATGTTTCAATGCGTCTCTCTGTTATCCTGGGCTGACAGTCTGTGATGACAGTAAACGCTTTCTCGGTGACACCATGGTAATGACTCGTTAATAGGAGGATTATTCCAAGTTTAAGTCATAGAGTGAAAGACCAGCCTCAGCCCTCCTTACCTCTCTCTGCCTTGGTGGGGGTGGTCTCTGTGCTCAGTTGGTGACCCATGCTTTGTCCCGCAGCTAGGATGTTGGGGTATGGGCGCAGCACCACTCCTGATGCCTGGGGATGCACATTCCCTGTTGATTAGCAAACCCAGCCAGTGACTCCCTCTCTGTCTTCTGTGCTTACGGTATTCCTTCGTGTGTTGTTTTTTGTTTTGTTTTTTAGACAAAGTTGCATTCTGTTGCCTAGGGCGGAGTGCAGTGGCGTGATCTCTGCTTACTGCAACCTCCACTTCCTGGGCTCAAGTGATCCTCCTGTCTCAGCCTTCTAAGTAGTTGGGACCACAGGTGTGTGCCACCATGCCTGGTTAATTTTTGTATTTTTGGTAGAAATGGGGTTTTGCTATGTTGCCCAGGCTGGTCTCGAACTCCTGAGCTCAAGTGATCCACCTGCCTCGACCTCCCAAAAGTGCTGTGATTACACCACCCTAGGCCCCTTAATTTTAAATAAAAATAACTGCACTGAATTTAATGCAATAGAAGAGCAGACCGAAGATGCGTTCATTCCCAAGTGGGAGCATCCGTATGAAATTCGGAAAGGGGTTGAGTCTCCCGTGCCATCTTCCCAGGCCCCTCTCCCTGGGCCTGGCAGGAAGGCAGAGGCAGAGGCTGGCCATTTGCATGTTGCAGATGGGAAGGTGTGAGTGGAAAACCTTTTAAGATCAATTTGAATATCATCTACTTGGCTTAGATCTTGAGAAATCTTTTAATAAAATGATCTTAAGGTGGTTTTTGGCATAAAAAGACTTTTTAGTCTTTTGGGCTCTGAACTGGGGATAATTACATAGCACCTAAAGAAATCCAAGGATTCTTCTTGTTAATAGTCTAAGTACAATTAGTTCAGATGGAACTCAAAATGGTTACACGTGAAGCAGGGCTCCAGTCAGCCCCAGCCAGGTGTGATTGAAGTTGTTCTGTGTTGAGCGTCAGGCGATGCTTGGAGCATGAATTGATCAGCATGTGTGTGTGTTTGTAGGGGTGGACGCGTTGTCTTGGCCTGGTCTAACCGTGGTCCTACCTGGTGTCCCCTCTGCAGTGTGGGGTGCATAGCCGCTTTAGGCCATTTCTGCTTTAGTGGGCCCAAGTTCTGTTGGTGTTTCTGGTGGTGGAATTCCCAGGGGATGGAAAGTTCTGGAGCGGAAGCAGATGTCCTGCATGTTGGGCACTCTGGAGTCAAGGGCTCTGACACTGGCTTTTGAGTCCGAGAGAGTTACCTCAGTGTGCCTGCTTCCCTGGCATCCTGCAGAGATGTGGTGCCCCACATGTGGGCACGTTAGAGGGTTCCGGGTGCTGTGGCATGTGTAGGAAGGTGGTCTTGAGGGTGGGGATGGCGCCCGTGTCCTCTTCGTGTGTTGTGTCCTGAGCACTCGAACCTTCCTCTGGCTTCTATTCTGCAGCCCTTGTATTTTCACACATCCTTAAACCACCCTCATATCGTGGCTGTGGTCGAAGTGGTCGCTGAGGGCAAGAAACCGGATGGGACCCTCCAGACGTCGTCCTGTGGGTTTGGAATCCTTCAGATCTTCAGCAGCCAGCCGGAATCTCCTACCTCTGCTTCCCAGGACAAACGGTACCTACCTTGTTTCTACAACCGTGGGGTTTGCCAGCGTCTTACTTTTTTTTTTCTTTTGAGACGGAGTCTCACTCTCAACCAGGCTAGAGTGCAGTGGTGTGATCTCGGATCACTGCAACCTCCGCCTCCTGGGTTTAAGCGATTCTTTTGCCTCAGCTTCCCAAGTAGCTGGGACTACAGGCGCATGCCACTACAGCCGGGCTAATTTTGTATTTAGCAGAGACAGGGTTTCACCTCATTGGCCAGGCTGGTCTTGAACTCCAGACCTTGCTGATGCACCTGCCATCACCTCTGGCTAATTTCTGTATTGTTAGTAGAGATGGGGTTTTGTGCCTGGCTGCATTCCAGTGTCTATGGTGGCTTAACTGGGCATCTCATGGTGGCAGTAGAAAGCCTTAGGTTTGTCATCTAAAGTTTTGTGTCCATAATAGCATAGTGTTGGATGTTTCTTGCTTGGGGGTTTGCCTTTTTTTTTCTCCTTTTTTTTGAGGCAGAGTCTCGCTCTGTCATGCAGGCTGCTGTACAATTGTACAATTCTGGGTCACTGCAACCCCTGCTTCCAGGCTCAAGTGATTCTCATGCATCAGCCTCCTGAGTAGCAGAGGTTACAGGCGTGCACCATCACACCTGGGTGATGTTTGTATTTTTAGTAGAGACGGTGTCTCCTGTGTTGCCCAGACTGGTCTTGAACTCCTGGGCTCAAGAGATCTGTTCACCTCAGCCACCCAAAGTGTTGGGATTACAGATATGAGCCACTGCATCCGGCTGTGTTTGCCATTTCTAAGTGAGTTAAGGAATTGTTTTTTAGGCAGGAGTAAGGGCTGGCTTTGGCCGTGAGCGATGGATTTGGGGTAGGATGGATATACGCCAAAGTCCTGCTCCAGCGCTGATTCCCTGTGGGACTTCAGGCAAGTGATTTGAACTCTTGGAGCCTGAAGGCATTCACCTGTACATGAGAGATAATAACAGCATGTATGTCGTAAGTTCTGCTTGAATATTGAGCGGTGTGTTTTTCACAGGCGCCGGTGGTTAGCAGGTGTTCATTCAGCACACACTGGCGGAGCGTCTGCTGCATGTCAGGTCCTGTGTAGGGGCCGGACATATGGGCGGATAGGCTGGCACGTCATCCCTTCAGCCAGGGTTAAAGCCTACGTGTTCACTTTGAATCAGGGTTTCTCTAGCTTGGCACCACTGACTTTCCAGTGGAGAATTCTTTGCTGTGGTGGGGCTGTTCTCTGTGCTGCAGGATGTTTAGCAGCATCCCTGGCAATCTACTAGATGCCAGAGGCACCCCCTCCCTGCCCCAGTTGTGACAAAGGAGAAAAATATCTCCAGCCATTGCCAAACTTGCCTTAGTGGGCAGAGTCGTCCCTGGTTGAGAACCACTGCTCCAGATCCACAACCGTGAAAATTCCTCAGATATGTCTTTCTTGAGACATTTTAGAGTTTTATAAATTTCCATGAACGGTGTTTTCCAGCTTGTCGGTTCTCAGGCTGCCTTGGGTCGGTGCTGTGTGTGTGCTGGACGTGCTTGGCCATGAGCACCGAGGGCTTGGGGAGCTGCTGCTGGCCTTAGCTGCCGCTGCCTTCCGCAGAGGACGGGACTGGCGGCATTTAGAAAGCTCTGGTGGGCGTGGTGGTGGCCAAGGCTTCCATGTGCTTTCTTTCTGAGAAGTGCACAAGTGGCTGATGAGTATTCTTTGGATCCTGTCTTCCAGGTTGCGGCTGTACCACGGCACCCCCAGAGCCCTCCTGCACCCGCTTCTCCAGGACCCCGCAGAGCGTAAGAGCCAGGCCTGTCCTTGGCAGCACTCGCTGCTCTCCCGCCTTCCCTGAGTGTTCCCCACCATTAGTTCTGAATGGGATCTTTCTCAGTGTAAACCGCTGTCCACTTAGCTAATTTATCTAAGAGGTTTGGGCAAATGTTTTGCGGCCTTGGACTTTTGGCAGAAAGTAAAGAACTGAAACACAGCAGCTCTGAGGGAGGGCATTGCTTTGTGGGGATGGCATGGGAGGGCCTGTGAGAGCCACCTGGAGGGAGGGGAGCAGCTCTGCTCACCAGATAAAGGAGTAGTAGCCTTCCGTCACCAGCCACCGGCTCTAAACCTCTGACTGCACAGCCATCGGTTATCCCCAGCACGGCAAGGCCCTGTGGCTGAGAGGCCGCCTTAGAGCAGAGCAGGGGTCAGGGGAGCTTCCTGCTGTTCCTCTGTGATCAGCCGTTCCCAGGCAGCAGAGGGAGCCAGTGGGAGGGAAGGGGATGACAGTCTGCTCTGCTGCTGCCTGCCTGGAGGTTGACAGGAGGGGTATGTGGTGGGAGGGGAGGGGGTGTGTGGTGGGAGGGGTGGGAGTGGAAGTGGGCTAGAAGGACATCAGGGAGGCTCAGAGCACAGAGGCTGTGCTTGCCCAGCAGTTGGGGGAGTGTTCGGGTGGGGGGAAAAGTGGCTGGAAGTAGATCTGTTGGGGAAGGTGACTTTCTGTCTCTTTGGGGTGAGGTGCTGCCTAGATTCCTTGAAGGGGATGTTGTGTGTGCCTTGTGGCTTGGGTTAAAAGTCAAACCTGGCCGGGCGTAGTGGCTCAGGCTTGTAATCCCAGCACTTTGGAAGGCTGAGGCAGGTGGATTGCCTGGGTGATAGAATGAGACCCTGTCTCAAAAAAACAAAACAAAACATCCAACCCGCTCTCTTTGCCCCTCACTGGTCTTGGTGACAGTGTCATGATAGAACCTGTCAGCTGAAGAGCGCTGAGGTTCCTAAGTCTGGAAAGGAGAGCTTCATTTCTCAGAAAGGGCTGCAGCCTACAGGTGGCCTTTCAGACAGGCTGGGAAGTGTAGCTTCTGGCCAGAAGCCAAAAACAGACCCTTTGAGGGAGGAACAGAGAGAAGAGGAATTTCTGCTGAGCGGGGGCTGAGTCAGCTTTTTAATAAGCCCAGGAGGGGTCCTGCGTGTTGATGAGAGGAGAAGCGTGCACGTGGGCAGCTGAGCCCATGCCGCTTCATGGGATGCACGTTCAAAATACGGTGGCACTAGCAGGATCCTCGGGGGGAGTTCTCCACTCCCTGACGTCAGAAGGTGAAGCAGACGACACGAAAGCCCTCCCTGCGAGCCCTCTGTAGACTCCGGAGGAGGACAGCAGCTGGCGATCGGTGGGCAGCAGCAGCAGGGGAGGCTGGAAAGGGCAGTTTCTGTCCAGTCCTGAGTGAAGAAAGGCTAATGGCGGTTAGCGTGGGCTGGGGCGCATTGAGGCCTGTCTGTTCCCCCTCCGGTCACAGCCCTGAAGTCAGTTTTCAAGGCTCCGCTGGAGTCCTCTAGGCCGAGAGGCGGCCCCTTCAGTCTGCTGCGGGTTCAGGGTTTTCTTTCAGTTTACAGAGAACAGCCAGCCGGGAACTTCATCTCATTGCTAAAGACTGGCTTTTAAGTTATTTTTCAATTGAGTCTAATTATTCATGTGCCAGGATTTTCTCTCCAGAATTATCCTTAGAACAAAGTACACAGCTACCACGTTCGCTCCACGTCCACAGCCTGCATGTCCGTGCGTCCGTGTGGAAGCTGTGAGCCCTGAGTGGAGGCTTTAGGCAGAACCCGCGGTGGGCCTGTCACTCATCTTTGCAGCGGACGTTTCCCAAAATTTGCTGGTAGTGGTGACATACTCACACAATTCGGAATCCAAAAGTATAAAAAAGTGCCGGGTGCAGTGGCTCACGCCTGTGATCCCCACACTTTGAGAGGCTGAGGTGGGCAGGCTCAGCTTGAGGCCAGGAGTTTGAGACCATCCTGGACAACATACTGAGACCACCCCCATCTCTAAAAAAACACAAAAATTAAGCGGGTGTGGTGATATGCCCCTGTGGTCATAGCTACTTGGGAGGCTGAGGTGGGAGGATTGCCTGAGGCCAGAATTTGAGGCTGCAGTGAGCCGTGATTGCACCATTGTACTCCAGCCTGGGAGACAAGATCCTGTCTCAAAAAAAAAAAAATAAATAAAAAGTATAAAAAGTTCAGAGTGAGATGTTATTTCCCCAGTCCTTTCACCTGCTACCAGGTAACCTCTCCCTGGGTTCTTGTGGATCTGTCGCTGGTGAACTAAGTTCTTTTCCCCCTTTGTATCAGCTGCAAAGGAAGAATAGCCAATTGGAAAAGGTAGTCAGGTTTTATAGACTGGCCAGGGAGTGGAGAAGGGAGCCCTCGCTCCACAGGCAGCTTCTCCCTGGACAGCGGGAGGCATGGAGGTTTGAAGGACCGGGCTCAGGCCAGGAGGGTGGGATTCCAGGCGCACAGACACATGTCGTAACGTGCTCCTCCGGGCATGGCTGGTACGAAACACAGCGGCGGCCTTCTCGGAGTGTGAACTTTAGCATTGTAATGACGTTCTGATGGTCTAAAGGCAGCTGGGGGTCGCCTGTTCTAGTTTTCACCAGTTTCGTGAGGCTCTGTCTTTCTCTGGTATTTGGTCAGGGGTCAAGAAGCTCTGGTGGCATCCCTGCCATCTGGTTCCTTTAAAGAGCTGTGCCCATGGAAAAAGGGGCTGAATGAGAAAAAGGAACTTTTGCTGTTATTTCGCCCAGGCTGCCCTGGTAACACACCCTTCCGGGGCCTTGTTGTGGACACAGAAGCAGAGCGGATGTCCAGCATTACATCTGATTTTTGACCTCTTCCCACTCACTGTTCCACACCTTGCTTTTTTCCCCATAACAATTTGTCTAGAAGAATGTTTCATATCAGTACATGGAAAGCACTCATTCTTTTTACAGCTCTGTGGTATTTTGTGGAATTGATGTTTCACGATAGATTGAATCGGCCTCCTGCACACCAACCTTTACGCTGTCTTATAAGAAAAAGTTGGGGCAGGTGCAGTGGCTCACGCCTGTAATCCCAGCACTTTGGGAGGCTGAGGTGGGCGGATCACCTGAGGTCAGGAATTTGAGACCAGCCAGGCCAACATGGTGAAACCCTGTCTCTTCTAAAAATACAACAATTAGCCAGTGTGGTGGCGGGCGCCTATAATCCCAGCTACTCTGGGCTGAAATAGGAGAATTGCTTGAACTCAGGAGGTGGAGGTTGCGGTGAGCTGAGATCACACCACTGCACTCCAGCCTGGGTAACAGAGTGAGTTTCCATCTCAAAAAAAAAAAAAAAAAAAAAGAAAAGGTTAGAAACCCCATTACAGTGGTTGTCTGTCCTTCCTCTGAGCATGTGCGGAATTCATGAGGTAAACTCGAGTCGGGGGATGGCTAGGCTGGATGTCTGAGCATTTGGAGCCTTGCCCTGTTTCTCTTGTGTTCCCCTCCCTGCCGCCCCCCCAGGAGGCTGTTCCTCCTGACGAGCCACACAGGTCAAATGCCTTTAGTGGTATTTTACATTTTAAAGTAAGTAGATTCCATGTTTGGAGTGGTTAGGTACTCAAAAAAATACTATTTTTCACTAATTTCTTTTTTTTTTGTTTTTTTTCCCCCCCCCCCCCGCCCCGAGATGGCTTCCCTCTGTCACCCAGGTTGGATTGTAGTGGCGTGATCTTGGCTCTGCCTCCTGGGTTAAAGCAATTCTTCTGCCTCAGCTTCCTGAGTAGCTAGGATTACAGGCGTGGGCTACCATGCCCGGCTAATTTTTTGTGTTTTTAGTAGAGACGGAGTTTCACTGTGTTAGCCAGAATGGTCTCTATCTCCTGACCTCGTGATTTGCCTGTCTTAACCTCCCAAAGTGCTGGGATTACAGGCGTGAGCCACTGCCCGACTTTAAAATTTTTTTTTTTATTTTTGTTAGGCGCAGTGGCTCACGCCTATAATCCCAGCACTTCGGGAGGCCAAGGCGGGCAGATCACGAGGTCAGGATTCCAGACCAGCCTAAGCAACATGATGAAACCCCGACTCTATTGAAAGTACAAAAAGTTAGCTGGGTGTGGTGGCGCACCCTGTAATCCTAGCTACTACGGGCATGAGCCACCGTGCTGGGCCTAGTTTTTCACTAATTTCTTTTTCTAATGATACAGTAGTTCATATTTAGCTCTTTGCTCAGGAATGAGCTGAACTTGTGACTCTCAGCAGCTGTCCCTGGCTCGGCCACAGCCAGGACTTGAGCTGCCTGAGACCATGCGCACCTGCTGTGCTTTGGGGAGTGATGGGCTTTCTGTCTGTGGAGAAAATCAGGCCCCAATAAGATTGGCCATTTGGTGGGAATGTGAAGAGGGCAGCCCTGGGGTCTGTGTTTCGGGGGTGTGCCTCTCCCCATACCCCTGTTTCTGGGGATGCTGTTTCTTCCACGTTCAGGGCCCGCCCCCAGTGTGGTGCGGCCGTGGTCCTTCCGGGTGTCATTTCTCTGGGGATGTTCTCTCATGCCCCTTTTCCTCCTCGCGTTTCCCCTCGTGCTTTACCCACAGCAGTCTCGTGGTTCAGATGCAGCTCTCCCATGTGTTATGGGTATCGGCTGTTTGGTCTTAGCTGTCACCCCAGGAGAGAGGCATGCCCTTGAGGACAGGGCTCCGTCTCTGACGCTGCTGGCCTCCCTCCAAGGCTGCCTGCTCCTTTTGGGGCTCGGTGGATCCAGGTGCCGACAGGCAAAGGCAGGCAGGCAGGCCTCGGGCCAGGGTGTCCTCCAGGCCCCTCTGATGGCAGGGACCAGCGAGACCTGGGGAAACCACACAGCCCATGCTGGCCTGTGCTCTCAGGAGACTGAGGGAAGTGGTGGGCAGGAGAGATTTTATGTTGGATTAAAAACCTGTACCTCCAGGCCAGGCGTGGTGTCTCATGCCTATAATCCCAGCACTTGGGAGGCCAAGGTGGGAGGATCACTTGAGCTCAGGAATTTGATGCTCTAGGGAGCTATGAGTACACCACTGCTCTCCAACTGGGCAAACAGGGCGAGATCCTGTCTCTAAAACCAAAAAAGAAAAATAAAAAAAAAGTTTTCATTTTAACTTCAAGGCTTGGCACAGTGGCTCACACCTGTAATTCCAGCACTTTGGGAGACCGAGTTGGGTGGATCACAAGGTCAAGAGATCAAGATCATCCTGGCCAACGTGGTGAAATCCCATCTCCACTAAAAATACAAAAATTAGCCCAGCATGGTGGTGGGCGCCTGTAGTCCTAGCTACTCAGGAGGCTGAGGCAGGAGAATCGCTTGAACCCAGGAGGCAGAGGTTGCAGTGAGCAGAGATCACGTCACTGCACTGCAGCTTGGGCGACATAGCAAGACTCCGTGTCATTTAAAAAAAAATTGTAACTTTACCAGAGAAGGTTATGAAAGTTCAATGCTTTTCACTTTTAGGCTGAACAGAGCATTTCCTGTCTTAGAAAAGTACTTTTTCTGTCTGTGGTATTTCTAACATTCTCCATTCATTGGCTGGTTTGACTGTCTTTGCTTTCAGCAGTGATCACATTGATCATGTGGGTGTTTTCTTCCCCAGAAAACAAACACATGACCCTCATTGAGAACTGCAGTCTGCAGTACACGCTGAAGCCACACCCGGCCCTGGAGCCTGTGTTCCACCTTCTTCCCGAGAACCTTCTGGTGTCTGGTCTGCAGCAGATCCCTGGCTTGCTTCCAGCTCATGGAGAATCTGGTAAGGATGTCTTCACTTCTCTCCACTTGGTGAGTTGAGTCTGTGCTGTTCACAGTGAAACCTCGAAGGCACTGGGCTCTTCTAGGGGAACGTGGGCCGAGCGCCCTCTGTAGCTCAGCAGCTCGGCCTGGCAGGGGTCATGGTGGGCGGGGGTCATGGTGGGCGAGGAGGAGGGTGGCAATGGCATTCCAGTTTGTTTCCTTCCTAAGTAGTTTCTCACGTCTTTCAAGTCATTCTGTCTTCTTTTGTTGGGAAAATGCTTTTGTGAGACAGAGTTTATACCTCTGACCACAGCCAGGAGGACTGGCTGGATCTCACCACACGACATCATGTCAGTGACTTGATGGTGGTGATGATTTTAAAATTAAGATAAAATAAGGATAACATAAAATTGGCCATCTTAACCCTTTGAAAATGTACAGTTCAGTGTGAGTAAGTCCATTCACAGTGCCGTGCAGCCACCAGCGCCATCCGTCCCAGAACTCCTTCATCTTCCCGGCCGAGGCTTTGTCCCATTCCGCACTGACTCCCCGTTCCCTACTCCTCAAGTCCCTGGCAGCCACCCTTCTGCTTTCTGTCTTCACCATTTCGATGACTCTAGGGACCTCCTGTAAGTGGAGTCATGCAGGCCTTGCCCTTCAGTGGCAGGCGTTCTTCTAGGGCAACAGGGGAATTGCCCTGTTAGTTCATCCTAAGAGTGACGTGTCTTCAAGGTTCTCAGCGGCATGTCTTCGGGGTCCATCCGCATGGTAGCATGTGTCCGAATTGCCTTCCTTTTTCTTTTAAGGCTGAATGATTTTCCGGTTTACGGACGGACCCTGTTTTGCCGATTGTTTCATCGATTTCTTGGATTGCTTCCACCTCCTGGCTCTGTGACGAATGCTGCTGTGAACAGGGTGCAGGGACTTGAGTATTTTTGGAAACTGAAATTCATGTTAAAGGACAAGGGCTCTGTCTTGGTGTGGTTTGCAGAGGTTGATTCTCCAGTGGTGGAATTGCATCGACCCCAACAGCCATGGGAGGTTGAGGGTGTGCTCTGCTGTAGCAGTCTGCTGGGCGGTCCTCGTGACCTGGGCCCCATGCTTCTTCCAGGTACTTCTTCCACACTTTTGTGTGGCTTTCTTGAGGAGTCCAGGAGAAGGGACCACACCAGCCTCTTTCTACCTGTCATGTGCTGGAGATGTCCTAGCACCGCCAGAACCTGCTGTCTTGGGTGACTCCTTGCTGGGTTCCAGGAAGAGTAGGATTTGACCTTGTCTGTGAGGGGCGGGGGTTGAGAACAGTGCTGTGCTGAGGGTTTGGCTCATTCTGGACCCTGAAGGAAGGGACGCAGCCGGCTCCAGCACAGGTCCCTGGTTGTCAGCGATGGCATCCCTGTGTGTTGCACAGGCGTTCTGGTTGATGCTGGGGTGTAGATGTTATCATCTGAGTTATTTAATTTCTTGGGTGGGTCTGTGGTGGATATCACCATTGTGAAGTCACTGTTTTTCCACCATTCCAGGGAGGAGAGGGTGAAATGAGAAAGGAGGAATGAACTCTGAAGACGAGCAAGCCTGGGGTCCCGGTCTGGGTCTGTCCTGGCTCACTGAGCTTTAGGCACTCTCCATGCCCCCTTCAGAGTGTCTTATTACCCCTGTAATCTGCCGGCGATCCTCTGAAAGAAGAAAGAGATGGAGGGAAGGCCTCATTGTTACTGTTGTTGAGTTATCGCAGAGAACAAGAAAACCAGTGTCTAGCTCTGAGACCTGGGCCATGGCCTGTCCCTCTGGCCCCTGCTTTGCTGGCCAGGGAGAGCCCTGTAGGCCCTGCTGTGAGATGCCGCCTGGTTGATAGTGATCTTGGGGATTAGCTGTGAGATGTCACCTGGTTGATAGTGATCTTGGGGACCAGCTGTGAGATGTCACCTGGTGGATTGTGATCTTGGGGACCAGCTCTGAGATGTCACCTGGTTGATTGTGATCTTGGGAACTAGCTGTGTGCTGCCGCCTGGTTGATACTGATCTTGAGGACTAGCTGTGTGTTCTTTGAAGTCAGCTGTGTGAGTCTTACTACCTGGGAGTCTTGGAGCTGGAGGTGTAGTCATCACCGGGACTTGCCAGTGGGTGTCAGTAGAACTGCAGACCAACAGAAATACCTGCAGGTCACTGTGGACTGGCTCAGTCTCATGACTAGAACAGCAGCCGAGAAGCTGAGGTGCCCAAGAAGACAGGCTTGGTTTTGTCCCTGGTGTCTTGTATCCCGCTGGGACCAAGGAAGGCACGAGGTGGAGATGGAGTTTTGGATTTAAGAAGCATGTGGCTGGGTACATGACTCCTGCTCCTCATCCATAAAGGCCATGTTTTGGAAGAGGCCTGGCCCGTTGGCCTCAAGTTGTCCTCCAGGTGTGGAGCAGCTGGTCAGTCCAAGGCGCTGAACGAATGCAGGCGGTGCTGGTAACATTGCAAAATGCAGGACATTTTATGCTGCTGGTGTTGAAAATCAAATGAGCAGGGGATCTGAAGGCAGGGCCAGCACATGCCCTGGTGTCTGGAGGGAGGGAGGCTGAGTGACTGACTCCACCAGGTAAGGGCCACATGTGCTCCTTTGGAAAGGACAAGTACCTCAGCAACACCCACACCCCTGCCCCGGGGCCGTTTTAGGAGAGAGACGCAATTTGCCCAGTTTTTTTGTTGTGCGTGGGGAGCCAGTGTTGTATAGGCCCTGAGGGTACTTTCTACTTTCTTTTTATTTTACTTGTTAAACTTTAAAAATTATGTGTGCGTGTATATGTGTATATATATGTAAAATGAGAGCCAGATTTTTCTCTAATTCTACTTTTCTTTTTAGACAGGGTCTGGCTCTGTCGCTCAGGCTAGAGCTCAGTGGCACAATCTTGATTTGCTGCAAACTCTACCTCCCATGCCCAAGTCATTCTCCCTCCTCAGCCTCTTGAGTAGTGGGGACTACAGACATGTGCCACCATGCCTGGCTCTTTTTTTTTTTTTTTTTTTTTTTTTAAGACAGTCTTGCTCTGTCACCCAGGCAGGAGTGCAGTGGCACTACAACCTCTTGTCTCCTGGGTTCACGCAATTCTCCTGCCTCAGCCTCCCAAGTAGCTGGAATTACAGGCCTGTGTTACCATGCCTGGCTAATTTTTGTATTTTTAGTAGATACGGGGTTTCAACCATGTTGGCTAGGCTGGTTTTGAACTTCTGACCTCAGGTGATCCACCTACCTTGGCCTCCCAAATTGCCGGGATTATAGGCATGAGTCACAGGGCCTGGCCTCCGGCTCATTTTTGTATTTTTTGTAGAGACAGGTTTCTCCATGTTGCCCAGGCTGGCCTCAGACTCCTGAGCTCAAGCATCAAGGAATCCACCCGCCTTGGCCTTTCAAAGTGCTGGGATCACAGAGTTGCGCCACTGTGCCTGGCCTCGAGGCTGCTTTCTGACCAGTGCCGACGCAACTTGTCTATCGTGTGCCCGTTTTATACAATGCTAAAGACTGTTTTAAAACCACAGAGTTCATCTTTATTCAATACATTCAGTAAAAATATATTGAAAAAAGACTTAGTAAAAACTGAAAGTCTTCCCTTCTAGTCTCACTCTGTGGAGAAAACCACTGCTCATAGTTTGGTGTATATCTTTTGTATATTCACTAATTCATTTATTATTCATTGATTTATTCAACAAGTATTTATTGTGTAGACACTGTGAAGCAGGCCCTGGCTTGGGTGCTGAGGATGTCGCATTGCACCCTTAGGAGATATGTCAGCTCTCTCTTGAGTGGATTTTGGTAGGGGCAGACCTCAAATCCAACCACAGTCACCAAACGCAATACAAGGTGTTTTAGAAGAAACCTAGACTAGCTCAAAGTCATTTTCATTCCTGCTTAAATCATTCCCAAGTTTAGTTTTCATTCCGCTGCCGCTATTATAGTGTTCTTATTTTTTGAGGTACATTCTGGTGAATTAAATATCCTTAGTAGAAGAGAGAGGTCCCCAGGAGGCTGTGGACCATGGGAGCCTGTTAGGGCCCAGGGGAATCTCCGGGCTCTCTAATGGATATCAGTGGGAAGGGGGTTCTTGCTTGTGAAGGGTTTGCTGGCAACCCCCATTTTCTCTGTAGTGTGTTTGTTGGAATCCCGGAATAAAATGGATTCTTGTAGAGTAGAGCGTGTTTTTTCCACGGGAGCAACACTGTTATTTGGGAATTCCATTCCTAGCTAGAGACTCAAACACAGATAAATTAAAGATTGTCTTAGCTGCAGAGCATGAGGGCCAGAACACCTCTGCTGCTATGGGCTCACTTCTGCCAAGGTGGAGTTCATGTTTGTCTTGGTTGCCACTGTTGTTTGGTTAGTTGAATGAGTGAATGAATGAATGATTTCAGATAGTGAAAAGACGCTTGTTGGGTTATGCTGGAGGCTGACAGACCTGTGGCAGGTGTCTGTTCCATGTCTAGCCACGGTGTGAGCTCAGGTCAGGTCCTAGCCTCTCCAAGTCTTTGCTTTTGTTTTTCCTTTATAAAATGGAGGCAACGATAGGGCCTGCTCGTAAAGATGTATTTGGGGAGAAAATGAGATGGATTGGTAAAACACTGGCGTATCATCATCAAAGTTCTGTCTTAAATTCAGCCCAGATCCAAGCCTCCCACCTCAGAGCACCCTGGGAGGTCTGATCTGTTTTCCCTTTGCTAGCCCTTCGGATGTGTGAAGGCAAGACAGCACCAGGCCCCGTTGTTTTTTGGTCCAGGCCTGGTATCTCAAAAGTTCCGGGTAACTCAGTGGGAGAACCAGGCTTGGGCTCAGGATCTTTACTCCAGAGCCCATGATGCTTGCAAGACGTGGCCTGGAAAAAGCAGCTGAATGAGGATACCCAGCCTTGTCCGGCTTTCTTGGGCCCTCCAGGATCTGGAAGGTTCTTCCCACTGCAGATGTAGCTCCTCAGTCTGGCTGTCCTGGTGGGAACCCGTCTTTCCTCCCCTAATGACTTCGTTTGCATGGGATTTGCGTCGTCAGCTCTCTGCATAGACCAGGGTCACAGCTATCAGAATGGCTGCTGGGCCTGGGGTACATGTGCACCCTGGTCATGGGGTGGTCACACAGAACCCACTTCCAGGAACGCCGAGTTCTGCCCCCTCCCAGATGCCTGGGGACCCTGATTCTTCCACTGAGTTGCCACCCCTTATGACGGGGCACCCATGGCACACAGGTGATCCTTCCTAAAGGAAGTCGGTCTGGTAAATGGCCTTTGTCCTCTGTTATTTTAGTTTATATAATTTCTCCCTCAACTTTTTGAAACATTCTGTTAAATTTTGTTGACACATTGTAATTGTGACACAATTTTGACACATTTGGCAGTTATCAAATGTGGAACAATTTAATGTTTCAATACACTTATGTGTTGTACAATGATCAAATGAGAGTATTAGGGTGACCGGATCTCCTACACTCGTCGCTTCTCTGTGATGAGAACATTCAGAGGCCACTTTTCTAGCTATTTTGTATTTTACAGTAACTGCCTGGTAACCATCATTACCCTGCTGTGCAAGAGCAGCAGAATTTATTCCTCCTATCAGATTGTAACTTGTACCATGACCCCTTGACAACCTCTGCCTTCTTCCTCTCCTCAGTCTCGGGAACCACGGTTACATGCTTTGCTTCTGTGGTACCAACTCTTTATTTTTTTAGCTCCCACATATGAGTGAGATCATGTGGTATTTGACTTTCTGTGTGTGGCTTATTTCACTTCGCCTTGCTGTCTGCTGGGTCCGTCTGTGTGGTGGTGTTGCAAGCGGCAGGGCCTCATTCTTTTTCATGGCTGCTAAGCACCCCACTGTGCGTATATACTCCTTTGATCCAGTCCTCTGCTGATGAACACTTAGGTTGATTCTGTGTCACCACCATTGTGAATAGTGCTACAATAAACATGGAATGGCGATACCTCTTTGACGGGCTGATTTCATTTCCTTTGGATATTCTGTGCTCACTAGGGGGATTGCCAGATTATATGGTAATTCTGGTTTCAGTTTTTTGAGAAACCTCTGTACAGTTTTCCATAGTGGCTGTCCTAATTTGCAATCCCGCCGACAGGGTGTAGGCATTCCGTTTTCTCCACGTCCTCACCCGCACTTACTTTCTTTTGTCTTTTTGATCATGGCCATTGTCACTGAAGTGAGGGGGCATCTCATTGCGGTTTTGAGTTTATTTCCCTCATGACTAGTGATCATGAGCGTAGTTTCATGTGCCTGTAGGCTGTTCGAATGTCTTCTTTTGAGAAATGCCTGTTAAGGTCTCTTGCCCATTTTAAAATCAAGTTACTAGTGTTTTTGCTGTTGAGTTGCTTACATTCCTTATGTATTCTGGATATTAACCCCTTGCCAGATAGCTACTTTACAAATATTTTCTCCCACTCTGCAGGTTCTCTCTTCACTAGCTTGTTTCCTTTGTTGTGCAAGACCTTTTCTTTGGATATACTCCATTTATTCCTTTCTGCTTTTGTTGCCTGTGTTTTACAGTTTTATTTAAAAAAATCCTTATCAGCCCAGTGTTACTTAAAAATCCCTACTCAGTCCAGTGTTACGAAGCATTGCTTCTTTGTTCTTCTGGTGTTTTTTTTCATAGATTCAGGTTTTACATTTAAGTCTTTAATATATTTTGAGTTGACGTTTCTATATGGTGAGAGGTAGGGTGTCTCATCTCCTTCTGCTTGTGGGTGTCCAGTTTGTCCAGCACCATTTATTGAAGAGACTGTCTTTTCCCGAGTGTATGTTCCTGGCACCTCTGTTAAAAATCAGTTGGCTGTAGGTACATGAATTTATTTCTGGAATGTCTGTTCTGTTCTATTGGACAAATCTATTGTGAGTTTGTGATGGGGACAGTATGGAAATCTATAAAGAAGGAAATAATCTACAGTTACTGCCTGCAGATATCCATGCATACATCTAAGTGCATAAACATTTAAATCACATCGCTATCAAATGGAACAATACAGTTTTATATGTTACTATTCTTTTCACTTGCAATGTTATGATTGTTTCTCAGTTTCTTAAATAACCTTTGATAATATGATTTTTTTGTTCTGATTTGGTATGAATGACTAACAGTTTAATGAACATTCTCCTATTAACATTTGGCTGTTTCGATTTTTCTCTATTATAATAAAGTTTTACTGAATATTCTTGCACATAAATCTTTGCTTCTGTCTTTGATTATTTTCTCTGAATAGGTTCAAAAAGTGGAATTACTGGTCAGAAAGTGAGATTTGAAAGCTTTTGATATACACGAAGGCAAAGGTGATACTGACTCATACCCTTCTGCAGGATAGTAGAGTGCTCTTTTGACGGCAGATTCATCAGTATTGAGTGTTACCCCAGTGTTTTCTTTTTTTTTCAACTTTGGAATTAGCTTTTAAAAATCTGCATATGTAAATGGTGATTAAAATGTAGGAATAGATGGAGCTAGGACCGGAAGATGACGGTGGTGGAGAAATAGGGGGCAGAGTCCATGGTGTGTGTAGGTTGGGAAGCGGCTGGCTCAGCCTTCCTCCTCCTGGATGAGGCTTTGCTCCCGAGCCAGTGGAGAAGGCTCCCCAGGCAGCCCTGGGCCTTCCCTTTCTCAGCCCAGGTTTTTTACAGGCCTGCTCTGCACCGGATCCTGAGCTAGGTCCGTGGGGCCGCTGTCCTCTGGATGGGACGCTTTGCTCGTGGTGCTGTTCAGGCTGTATTTTGCTGGTCGCCTTGACAGGCTTGTGCGTGTTCAGTGTGTTTGCAGATGGTTCAAGGTGACGCAGTAAAGTAAGGAGCAGCGGGGCTGGCTGTGGTCCTGCTGGAGAGGAGGGACACCATGCAGGGGAGCAGGCTGCAGGGGCTGCACGTGTGACTTTGCCTTCTGCAGTCTATGTTCTTTGAGTTGTTGAATATAAAAACTGCCCCTGGAGGAGGTTTGGGGCAGAATTTGGACTGCCAGTGAAACCTGTGTTTGCCTAATTGAGGTGGAGGCTCAGCCTGGCCCCTATCTGGGGATCCCACGCACTCTTCTTTGCTGCAGGCCCAGGCTGAGGCTGGGGTGGGTGGGGGTCCTTGGTGGCTGCTGGTGGGTGTTTTATTCCCAAGGGTGATCCTTTTTGCACCCTTGCTGTTTCAGGCGACGCTCTCCGAAAGCCTCGCCTCCAGAAGCCTATCACTGGGCACTTGGACGACTTATTCTTCACACTGTACCCCACCCTCGAGAAGTTTGAGGAAGAGCTGCTGGAGCTTCTCGTCCAGGACCACTTCCAGGAGGTGTGGAGTTGGAAGCCTGATGGGGGGGCCAGCGTGGGGCCAGGCAGGGGTGGAGCCCTGTGGGGGCAGGGAGGAGGTGGGGCAGGGTAGGTGGTAGGTAGGGCAGGGGAGACCCCATGTCTCATGCTGCTGGGGAGGGCTTTGTGGCCATAAGTGACATGGTTATGTCGTTCCCTGCTTTTTGGAGCTGAACTGGACCTTTAGGGACCCCTTTCCTCCGCAGCAAAGGCCCCCACAGAGCCTCTAGCTGTTGTTTTAACTTGAACAGTGACAAAGGTGCTGTTGGCCTGAGATGTTAATTAATGTTAATTCTGGTAGGTCATAAAATAGTCCTCATTTAAAGTAAACTAAGTCAGGAGATGAGCATAGGGAAACCCATAGAACCCTTGCCACGTTCAGAGGATGTCAGCGGGGACATGGAACTCATTTCCGGAGGTGGCAGGAAGCCTTGGTCATCTCACCCACCTTGGCCCCTGGGAAGGCGCCCCCAGCCTCACTGTCCCCTCAGCCTGCCTGTGGCACACATCCTTGTGTTCTGGTCACTGAGAGCCTGTTCATACTTCCTGCTGTTCTTGTCTGTTGCTTTTCGGTGTGTGGGTTTGTTCAGGTGTCCTGGCACGGCGTCTAGGGGGTTGCCCGTCTGTTAGGCAGAGGCTCTCTGTCCTGTTTGCCTGTGGCCCCTGGGAGGGACGTCCGCATTGTGCAGGCGCCTGGAGCTCAGCCTGCCTTGCATGCAGCATGCACTGTGGTTTCCTCTCTGGCCCCAACCCAGCGATGCCCCAGCTTGCAAGCTGTAAAACACCAGGGCCAGGGAGGTTGTCTCTGGACCTCCCGTCACCTCTGACAGCAAAAGTTATCTAGGATTTTCTGTGCAGAAGCGTGTTTGTATGCCAGCATGTCTTGGAAAAGCCTTTGCGGGTTTGGGGACTGCTTGTGTTTTTTAGGTGACAGTCTGTCCGTGGTCTGGAAAAATTGGACCTGATGAACTGTCACAAATGCTTTTGGAGTGAGGTCTGTCCACCCTGGTGCTTCTGTCCCCAGCAGCAGTGGGAGCAGGCATGTGGGATGCAGACTGCCTGGCCTGCTGGGGTCCCGAGCCCAGCCCCGTTGCCCTCACCTTTGCTGATGGTCACCAGATGGAGTGGGGAGAAGAGGGGTCAGCTCTGGCTGCTCTCAGCTCTGGAAGGAGGGGCCCTCAGACCTGGGTTGTGGGCAGACCACTCCTTGTTCCCCTCCAAGGACAAGAGAGAGTCTTCACTTTTGACTTTAGAAACAAAGAGAAAGTTTTGTCAAAGATCAGATGGTTGTAGATGTGTGGCATTATTTCTGAGGCCTCTGTTCTGTTCCATTGGTCTATATCTCTGTTTTAGTACCAGTACCATGCTGTTTTGATTACTGTAGCCTTGTAGTATAGTTTGAAGTCAGGTAGCATGATGCAAAAACAAGCAATGGGGAAAGGATTCTCTATTTAATAAATGGTGTTAGGAAAACTGGCTAGCCATATGCAGAAAGCTGAAAGTGGATCCCTTCCTTATACCTTATACAAAAATTAACTCTGGATGGATTAAAGATTTAAACATAAGACCTAATACCATAAAAACCCTAGAAGAAAACCTAGGCAGTACTGCTCAGGACACAGGCATGGGCAAGGACTTCATGACTAAAACACCAAAAGCCACAATAGACAAATGGGATCTAATTAAACTAAAGAGCTTCTGCACAGCAAAAGAGACTACCATTAGAGTGAACTGGCAACCAGCAGAATGGGAAAAAATTTTTTGCAGTCTACCTATCTGACAAAGGGCTAATATACAGAATCTACAAAGAACTTAAACAAGTTTACAAGAAAAAAAGCAACCCCATCCAAAAGTGGGCAAAGGATATGAACAAACATTTCTCAAAAGAAGACATTTATATAGGCAACAAACATATGAGAAAAAGCTCATCATCACTGGTCATTAGAGAAATGCAAATCAAAACCACACTGAGATACCACCTCACACTGGTTAGAATGGCGATCATTAAAAAGCCAGGAAACAACAGATGCTGGAGACGGTGTGGAGAAAGAGGAATGCTTTTACACTGTTGGTGGGAATGTAAATTAGTTCAACCATTGTGGAAGGCAGGGTGGTGATTCCTCAAGGATCTAGAACTAGAAATACCATTTGACCCAGCAAGCCCGTTACTGGGTATATACCCGAAGGATTATAAATAATAAAAAATAAAAAATATTGAATAATAAATACAATGATGTCTTCTGTTATAAAGACACATGCACACGCATTTATTGCGGCACTGCTCTGTAGGAAAAGATGGCCAGGGCCAGGCCTGTGTTACTTACAGTTAAAGGATTACAAGCTTGCTTGCTTTTTATACCCTGAGATTTGTGCCACGGATCAAATACTGAATTAAGAAAACTCCAAACTATGGTGCAGTAAAATAAAAGCAGAGATCAAGCGGTAACAGGAGGCCTCTAGTGAAGACCGTCTGAGAGCTTCATAACTGCGGGATGCTGCGGTGTGGTTGCGAGGCAGCAGAGGTGGCTTCGGTCCCACGATCTCTTCCCAACACACAGTCTGCGTGAGGGTCTCCTAAGGAGGGCTTGTGCAAGAACTCTAGGAAGGAACGCAACCTCTGCTCACAAGACTCGGGAGGGCCTTTGCAGACGGGAGCTTGCAGGACAGGGAAGTCTTGCAGGGCAGAGAGAACTGGAACGCCACAGGCTCTGCCTGTGTTCTCAGAATATGGAGTATTTCTGACTGCTCTGTGTCACAATGCTCAGGAGATAAAAGCCCCTTGATGCACAGTCTGTGCTCAGACCTTATGGCGTCTTATCCGCCTCATCTGCTGTGCCTCTTGGCACATGCACCTGGATAAACAATCGGTGATAAAACTCAGGGTCCTTAGTTAGCATTTCTTAGAAGAACCACGTTTGCTATTGATGCTGCAGACACATGCTCTTTCCCCCCATCTTCCTTCTTACCTTTCCCCGCAGCCTGCAAGATTAACAAGATGATGCACCCAATAAAAGCGTGTGCAGCCCAGAGCCAACTCGGTTCACCCTGCACTGAGAGAGTGCATTGGCCCCCGGACCCACACTGTTGAATTCTACTCTTGTCTTTGTCTTACTTCTTTTCTCACTCCCTCATCACCGCTGGGGCTCAGGGCACCCACGTACAGGGTTGGGCTGGTTCCCAACATGTTCACAATAGCAAAGACTTGGAACCAACCCAAATAACCATCAGTGATAGATTGGATAAAGAAAATGCGGCACATATATATACCATGGAATACTATGCAGCCATAAAAAGGATGAGCTCATGTCCTTTGCAGGGACATGGATAAAGATGGAAACTGTCATTCCCAGCAAACTGACACAAGAACAGAAAACCAAACACTGCATGTTCTCACTCATAAGTGGGTGTTGAACAGTGAGAACACATGGACATAGGGAGGGGAACATCACACACCAGGGCCTGTCGGGGTTGTGGGGCTAGGGGAGGGATAGCGGGTGGAGGCTAGGGGAGGGATAGCAGGAGAAATACCTAATGTAGTTGATGGGGGGACGGATGCAGCAAACCACCATGGCACATGTATACCTATGTAACAAACCTGCGTGTTCCACACATATACCCCAGAACTTAAAGTGTAATAATAGAAAAAGAGAAACTTTACCTGCAGAGAGCCAAGAGACTGGTGTGGGTAATGTCTTGCTATTGCTTCGAGTCCTTTTCATTCACGCCCTTTTCAGGATGAATCCCACAGAAGTGTGTAGTTGTGTGACTGCATGAAACGAGGAAGGATGGTGGAGGGAGGCCCTGTGCCCGGCACCCACAGAGCCCCGTGGGCAGAGGGAGGCCCTGTGCCCGGCACCCACAGAGCCCCGTGGGCAGAGGGAGGCCCTGTGCCCGGCACCCACAGAGCCCCGAGGGCAGAGGGAGGCCCTGTGCGCGGCACCCACAGAGCCCCGTGGGCAGAGGGTGGCTCTGTGCCCGGCACCCACAGAGCCCTATGGATCTCGTCCTGGCTGCACCTTCCTCCCTGCCCATTCCCCCGGACTTTTGTGCTAATCACGTCTTGGCTTTTTGTTCTGGTTTTACCGCCTGCAGATGCATCTCTAAACAATATAGGCTTGCCTGCTTTTGACCTGTCTTTAAATGAAGTCATACTTTTTTCTTCTGTTTTGTTTTTGCTTCTTTGGCTCAAGACTGTGCTCCCGTGAGTCTGTAGTGGGTGTGGCTCCATTTGCTCACTTTCTTTGCTGCATGGTCGTCTGTGTGAGGACACTAGGATTCATGGATCTATGGGCTGTTTGCAGGTTGTGGCTGAGCATTCTTGCATGTGTATCCTGACTCTTAGTAGAATCTCGGGCAGGAGGCAAAAGGGACTTTCTTGGAAAACCCTCATGGGCCTGTGATGAGCTAGCTGGTCCGCTGGGGACTGCCGGTCTGGGATGACCTTGGTTGGCGTGGCTCCCTGTGGCCTCTCCTCCTGTGGCAGTCAGTCTGGGCTTGCTCTCGTGCAGGCAGGTGTTTAAGAGAGAAGTTGGAAGTGTGCAGACATTTTCAAGCCTCTGTTTGGATTAAATTTGTTACTCTCCCTTTGGCCAAAGCAGGTCACTGGCCGAGTCCAGAGTCGGAGAGGTGGGCGCTCCAGGTTACAGGGCAAAGGGAGTGGCTTTAAAGAGCCCTTTCCCGGAGCTGTGAATGAGTCAACTGCCGTGAGGGTTTGGTGGAATTCCCAGGGTTTTATCACCTCGGCCGTAGCTCCTGGGATGGAGGCAGAGTTGGGCATGGCGCCTGCCCTCCCCACTTTGAGCTTCAAGGATTGGGTCCTGTCTTGGCCCAGGTCCTGAAGGCCGTTGTGTTCTGTTAGCCGCCATCCTTGATTGGTGGCGTTTTCTGCTCCTTAGGTTTTGGGGGAAGGAAATTCTCTGAGGAAGTGTCCCTGTCATGTTCACTTGAAAGTTGCAGAGAACATATTTTTCACTCAGTTGTCAAAGAGGTCTTTTAAAAACATAAATTCATCTCTTCTCGGCCTTTTGGCTAAGATCAAGTGTAAAAACATAAATTCAGCCATTTTTCTTCTGTGTTTAAAACATGCTGCTGACATCTGATTGTCCTTGGACTGAGCCCTAGGCTCCTGGCCCTCCAAGATGTGTGTGGCTGGGTCTTTGCCGCTTTCTCCGCCTCACTGTGTGCTGCTTCCTGGGCCTGTTTGCAGTCCTGGGCTCCGGCACGCCTCTGCCCGCGGCCTCGGACTCATGCTCGTCCTTGCGTGGGTCCTGGAACACGTAGCTGACCTTCCTGAACTTTCTTCCTGCAGATCTCTGTGTGCTTCCCCTCAGGCTTCGGGTCTGGACGGGGTCCCCTGACTGTCCTGCAGGGGCGCTGTTCCTGCCCTTGCCACCGTGTCTCCAGCTGTCACCCTGCATTCCTCCTGGGCGCTCAGCTGTTCCTGGGAACAGCTGGCCACCTTCTCTGCTACTGTCTGTCTCCTGTGGGGAGCGTTTGCATCGCCAGGAGAGGGACCTTGTTTTGTTTACCATGACACGTGACGGGCATACATGGGGGTTGGCACATAGTAGGGCTGTAATATTGAGTTGTGAGAATGAATGGTTCAGATGCCCATCCTAGCAGTCTGTGAAGTTAGCAAGTTATTCATTGCGTGCGAGAGAGAGAGAGAGAGAGAGAGAGAGAGAGAGAGAGAGAGAGAATGAGCTGGACTTGTTTGCTTCCTACCCATTCTTGAAAATGCAGTTCCACATAATTTGGGCTTACATAAACACAAAGCAGAGAATAGGATTGAAGTAGCGACATCCATTTCCTTGGTGTAGTTCCTGCTGTTTTCTTGTTCAGGGTGGATTGTGTGAGGGTAGAGATGATTTAGCAGTATCATTGTTCAATTTTATATATTCTCATAAAAGTCACTTTATTACGTATTTTTGCTCTCTTTGTATTTTTGTTCCAGTCCAACTGGCAGATACTCAGTTATCTGCATAGTTTTATTTTCATTATCTGAAGACTAATAGGCTGCATGTAGGCCTGTTCAGCTTGATTAATTGACAGTAAAGAAAACTTGAAAATTCAGGGATTATTTTGCAAAGATCACATAATTTAATACACACTAAGAGCCAGGGGAATGTCCTTGTTCATTTGTTAGGGTGCCTGTACATTTTTTGTTTAGATGAAATACGTTAATATCAAGTGACCACTGTAGGGCAGATTCTGTTTGTATTGGTTTATGATGTAGTGCCTAAGCACAGTTCCCCCTGTATGCTAAGTCTCAGGTCTCTGGGTAGACAGAGTGGAAACGTGATAAGCTCTGCCCCGAGCATCTCTCCAGCATTGTCCAGGGAAGTGGGTTCTGGGGAAGTGGGCTCTGGGAAAGTGGGCTCCGGGGAAGTGGGCTCTGGGGAAGTGGGCTCCGGGGAAAGTGGGCTCCGGGGAAGTGGGCTCCGGGGAAGTGGGCTCTGGGAAGTGGGCTCCGGGAAAGTGGGCTCCGGGAAAGTGGGCCCCAGGGAAGTGGGCCGGGGAAGTGGGCTCCGGGAAAGTTGGCTCCGGGAAAGTGGGCTCCGGGGAAGTGGGCTCCGGGGAAGTGGG